CGTCAGCCCAACGTCGCGTTCCAACGTTTCCGCTCGTCCCACTTGAACATTCATCAAAAAAATTGGATACTTCGAATGCATTGAGAATGTAACGCGTCCGTGAGGCGCATAGGTTTTCAATAGAATCTTTAACCTGATATTATTATTATTACTTTCGTTACAATTTGCACGACTCCGAAACATTTGTAGCTTGCGTTCCCGCTGACAAAAACTTGACTCAAGGTCTTACAATCTTCGATGTGGTTGTCCCGCCTGATGAAGATTGCTCTCGCGTTGCCATCGAAACGTCGCGATTCGTTTCCATTTCTACCTACGCGACTTTACCGCGAGGAAGCACAGAGTATCAACTTCTTACATTTAAAAGGCGTTCCCCCGTCGGAAAACCGCTCAATTGAAATACTCCGTTCTTTTTTTTTGTTAATTAGAAAGAGCAATCATGAAACACATTCTTCTGTGGAGGGAGGGAGCTGGTAGGAACGTTGGGTTGCTCGGTCAGTGGCCAGGGTCAACAACAACAACAACAACGGTGGCACCACCACGTGGTGTGTTCAGCAACAATGTGGCCCACTGTGAGGGCGGGCACAAGCCCGCGTGAGTAGGTGAAACGTTGAGTTTTATAAGGGGGGCACCACGGGGTGACCAGCCCCTCCCCACCCAGCCCCACCCCTCCCACCCCCCACCCAGCCCCTCCCCACCCAGCCCCACCCCTCCCACCCCCACTCAGCCCCTCCCTCCCTCCCCACCCTCCCCTCTCCTCCCATTTTTGGATGCACGACGGACGGACAGACACAATAATAATCCCCTGTGGGCTGGTGGTGTAACCAGGAGGTTCCTACACAGTATTAACTTAACACTCTACGGGAGGCAAACTTTTACCGTTTTAGAATGATTCAGATGTGAACGGCATAAAATGCGCGATTTTTTTGTTTGTTCAAAACCTCTTGAATCCGAAATATCTAAAAAAAACACAATAAAAGATAGAACCCAATGCCAAATGGTTCTCGCTTTAATTACATTTCTCGTCTAACGCTCTACAAAACGTAAACAAAAAAAAACGTCAATCTTACACAATGAACGGTTTCTGAACGACACCACACACACGTTTTTTTTGGGGGGGGGGGGGGGTAGTGGGGAGGTCTTAAAATGAAACAATCTGGGATTTTTAGATTCCTCTCCCCGTCGTTTTTCTCCTAAAAGCGACCTACGAACCAAAATGTCAGCTCTCCACCGTGTCCACAACTACCCCAGGTGTTGTTAGAGACGCCTCGGATGAAGCTCTTCATTTAATGAGATTGTTAATACATCCTGGTTACACCACCAGCCCACAGGGGATTATTGTCACTCGTGACCCCGGTCGCACGAGACCCCAGTCGTGGGCTCGCGAGCAACAACCGCCTGGGTTGGATTCCTAAACCACGTGCAGGGGGTGCTGCTTCCAAAACAAAACGTTAACGCTTAAACATGGGACTATCGGTTTTTAATGGGAAAGGAAACGGGTAAAAAAATAATAATCATAATAATAAACCAGTGTAAACACGATGACAAGTGTAATGTTAGCAGCTCCACTGAAAGCCCCCTCCACCTGTCCGCTGGCGACGTCAACGAGTCAGTGCCCGGAATGTTCCCTGCAGGAGGCTGCCCCCCGCAGCAACGCCGCTTGTTGGCACGGCTGAAAATCCTCGCGAGTGTTAACGTCTTTTTGAAGCACCCTGCACTTCAGACGGTTCGTCCTCGAAATGTTTTATTTAAAGCTTTCGTGACTGCAGTAATTCATAATCTTAGTTCTTTCAAGTAAAGTCACGTTGAAGGGAAACAATAAGATATATATTTTTTATTGTTTTATATATATTTTATTGTTTTATTGTTTCCCTTCAACGTGGCTTTACCGAAAGAACTAAGGATATGATTTATCTTCTAATTCACATCGTGCGACGATGACGACGATGATGACGACGATGATGACGACGATGACGACGATGATGACGACGATGACGACGATGATGACGACGATGACGACGATGATGACGACGATGACGACGATGATGACGACGATGATGACGACGATGATGATGACGACGACGATGACGACGATGACGACGATGACGACGATGACGATGATGACGACGATGACGACGATGATGACGACGATGACGACGATGATGACGACGATGACGACGATGATGACGACGATGATGACGACGATGATGATGACGACGACGATGACGACGATGACGACGATGACGACGATGACGATGATGACGACGATGACGACGATGATGACGACGATGATGATGATGACGACGATGACGACGATGACGACGATGACGATGATGACGACGATGACGACGATGATGACGACGATGATGATGATGACGACGATGATGAGGAATGTTGGAGGTGCACGTCCAGATTGAGAAAATGTCACTGGGCTCATTTGCTTCAGCGGCCGTCCATGAATGACGTCACGCACCTGGGGGGTGGTGGTCAGACATTTGTGACGATGGGGGTGGGGGGAGGGGCTGTTGAGAAATGTGACGTCACATCAAAATGTGCAACTTTAAATATAGACGTCACGTTCTACTTAATTAAATAGACTTTGTTAATAAATGTTTTCTACCTACGATATCAGAGTGCAGCAGCGCCACATTAAATACGCGCTACAATGTCAACAATAGTTTACAGCGATTTGAAGCATGTTTTATTTTTTTTTGGGGGGGGGGAGCTTTGTGACGTCATATTTTAGGGGGGTCAGAGCTTTGTGACGTCATATTTTAGGGGGGGTCAGAGCTTTGTGACGTCATATTTTAGGGGGGGGTCAGAGCTTTGTGACGTCATATTTTAGGGGGGGTCAGAGCTTTGTGACGTCATATTTTGGGGGTGTCAGAGCTTTGTGACGTCATATTTTAGGGGGGTCAGAGCTTTGTGACGTCATATTTTAGGGGGGTGTCAGAGCTTTGTGACGTCATATTTTAGGGGGGGTCAGAGCTTTGTGACGTCATATTTTAGGAGGGGGGTCAGAGCTTTGTGACGTCATATTTTAGGGGGGGTCAGAGCTTTGTGACGTCATATTTTAGGGGGGGTCAGAGCTTTGTGACGTCATATTTTAGGGGGGGGTCAGAGCTTTGTGACGTCATATTTTGGGGGTGTCAGAGCTTTGTGACGTCATATTTTAGGGGGGTCAGAGCTTTGTGACGTCATATTTTAGGGGGGTGTCAGAGCTTTGTGACGTCATATTTTAGGGGGGGGTCAGAGCTTTGTGACGTCATATTTTAGGAGGGGGGGTCAGAGCTTTGTGACGTCATATTTTAGGGGGGGTCAGAGCTTTGTGACGTCATATTTTAGGGGGGGTCAGAGCTTTGTGACGTCATATTTTAGGGGGGGGTCAGAGCTTTGTGACGTCATATTTTGGGGGTGTCAGAGCTTTGTGACGTCATATTTTAGGGGGGTCAGAGCTTTGTGACGTCATATTTTAGGGGGGGGGTCAGAGCTTTGTGACGTCATATTTTAGGGGGGGTCAGAGCTTTGTGACGTCATATTTTAGGAGGGGGGTCAGAGCTTTGTGACGTCATATTTTAGGGGGGGTCAGAGCTTTGTGACGTCATATTTTAGGGGGGGTCAGAGCTTTGTGATGTCATATTTTAGGGGGGGGTCAGAGCTTTGTGACGTCATATTTTGGGGGTGTCAGAGCTTTGTGACGTCATATTTTAGGGGGGGGTCAGAGCTTTGTGACGTCATATTTTAGGGGGGTGTCAGAGCTTTGTGACGTCATATTTTAGGGGGGGGGTCAGAGCTTTGTGACGTCATATTTTAGGAGGGGGGTCAGAGCTTTGTGACGTCATATTTTAGGGGGGGTCAGAGCTTTGTGACGTCATATTTTAGGGGGGGTCAGAGCTTTGTGACGTCATATTTTAGGGGGGGGGGTCAGAGCTTTGTGACGTCATATTTTGGGGGTGTCAGAGCTTTGTGACGTCATATTTTAGGGGGGGTCAGAGCTTTGTGACGTCATATTTTAGGGGGGTGTCAGAGCTTTGTGACGTCATATTTTAGGGGGGGGGGGGTCAGAGCTTTGTGACGTCATATTTTAGGGGGGGGGTCAGAGCTTTGTGACGTCATATTTTAGGGGGGGTCAGAGCTTTGTGACGTCATATTTTAGGGGGGGGGGGGTCTGAATCTTTGTGACGAGAGGGGGGGGGTCACAAACCGTCCAAACTCTCTCGTGACGTCATTAATGGACGGCCGCTCACGTGGCTGTTCACCTGCCGACCGCGCTGATCGCAGGCGCGGTGTGGGGGAGGGAAGGACAGCGGCAGCAGCAGCAGCAGCAGCAAGAGGTAAGAGGATTGAGATCGCGACCTTTGAACTCACACGTCACGTGAGCGTCGCTCGCACGGCGCCGGGCACGTGGCGTGGAGAGCAGTCGTGCAGCCCCTCCCCCTTCCCCCCTCCCCTCCCCCCTCCCCCCCTTCCCCCCCTCTCCCCTCCCCCTCCCCCCCTCCCCCCTCCACCGCCGCGTGTCAACGGGCGGCCCGCGGAAGCGGACATCACAGAGCTACCTCCGAGATCTGGGGAGCTCCGTGGGCAGCTCAGTGGGCAGCTCAGTGGGCAGCTCCGTGGGCAGCTCAGTGGGCAGCTCCGTGGGCAGCTCTGTGGGCAGCTCTGTGGGCAGCTCAGTGGGCAGCTCAGTGGGCAGCTCTGTGGGCAGCTCAGTGGGCAGCTCAGTGGGCAGCTCTGTGGGCAGCTCAGTGGGCAGCTCTGTGGGCAGCTCTGTGGGCAGCTCAGTGGGCAGCTCAGTGGGCAGCTCAGTGGGCAGCTCAGTGGGCAGCTCAGTGGGCAGCTCTGTGGGCAGCTCAGTGGGCAGCTCTGTGGGCAGCAGGTGCCTCAGGCTGGGCAGCTCCGTGGGCAGCTCAGTGGGCAGCTCAGTGGGCAGCTCAGTGGGCAGCTCAGTGGGCAGCTCTGTGGGCAGCTCAGTGGGCAGCTCCGTGGGCAGCTCAGTGGGCAGCTCAGTGGGCAGCTCTGTGGGGCAGCTCTGTGGGCAGCTCAGTGGGCAGCTCTGTGGGCAGCTCAGTGGGCAGGTCAGTGGGCAGCTCTGTGGGCAGCTCAGTGGGCAGCTCAGTGGGCAGCTCTGTGGGCAGCTCAGTGGGCAGCTCAGTGGGCAGCTCAGTGGGCAGCTCCGTGGGCAGCTCCGTGGGCAGCTCTGTGGGCAGCTCAGTGGGCAGCTCTGTGGGCAGCTCAGTGGGCAGCTCAGTGGGCAGCTCTGTGGGCAGCTCTGTGGGCAGCTCAGTGGGCAGCTCTGTGGGCAGCTCAGTGGGCAGCTCAGTGGGCAGCTCTGTGGGCAGCTCTGTGGGCAGCTCTGTGGGCAGCTCTGTGGGCAGCTCTGTGGGCAGCTCTGTGGGCAGCTCTGTGGGCAGCTCAGTGGGCAGCTCTGTGGGCAGCTCAGTGGGCAGCTCTGTGGGCAGCTCAGTGGGCAGCTCTGTGGGCAGCTCCGTGGGCAGCTCAGTGGGCAGCTCTGTGGGCAGCTCAGTGGGCAGCTCTGTGGGCAGCTCAGTGGGCAGCTCTGTGGGCAGCTCCGGGGGCAGCTCCGTGGGCAGCTCTGTGGGCAGCTCAGTGGGCAGCTCTGTGGGCAGCTCTGTGGGCAGCTCAGTGGGCAGCTCTGTGGGCAGCTCAGTGGGCAGCTCTGTGGGCAGCAGGTGCCTCAGGCTGGGCAGCGTGACGCCGCTGTGGCGAGCGATCTCCCAGAACCGGCAGCGGTCCCCCCCCTCCCCCCTCACCCCCCGCCGCCCCCCCTCCCAACCACCACCACAACCACCACCACCACCACAACCACCACCACAACCACCACCACCACCACCACAACCACCACCACCGCCACAACCACCACCACCACCACAACCACAACCACCACCACCACCACCACCGCCACAACCACCATCAACACCACAACCACCACCACAACCACCACCACCACAACCACCATCACCACCACCACCACAACCACCACCACAACCACCACAACCATAACCACCACCACCACCACCGCCGGTGTCTGGGCGGCAGGCTTGGACCTGGACGAGCACCGGGCGGGCACAGAGGAGCGGCAACTCCAGCGGCCAGCGCAGACCCAGGTGGTGACGGTGAACCTGCACGGTGACAACACGTGACAACACGTGACAACACGTGACAACACGTGACGGTGAACCTGCACGGTGACAACACGTGACAACACGTGACAACACGTGACACGGTGACGGTGAACCTGCACGGTGACAACACGTGACAACACGTGACGGTGAACCTGCACGGTGACAACACGTGACAACACGTGACAACACGTGACAACACGTGACAACACGTGACACGGTGACGGTGAACCTGCACGGTGACAACACGTGACAACACGTGACGGTGAACCTGCACGGTGACAACACGTGACAACACGTGACAACACGTGACACAGTGACGGTGAATCTGCACGGTGACAACACGTGACAACACGTGACAACACGTGACACGGTGACGGTGAACCTGCACGGTGACAACACGTGACAACACGGTGACACGTGACAACACGGTGACATGTGACACGGTGAACCTGCACGGTGACACGTGGCAACACGGTGACACGTGACACGGTGACACGTGACAACACGTGACAACACGGTGACACGTGACACGGTGACACAGTGACAGTGACACAGTGACAGTGACACAGTGAGACAGTGACACAGTGACAGTTACACAGTGACACAGTGACAGTTACACAGTGACACAGTGACATAGTGACAGTAACACAGTGACACGGTGACAGTTACACAGTGACACAGTGACAGTGACACAGTGACAGTTACACAGTGACACAGTGACAGTTACACAGTGACACAGTGACATAGTGACAGTGACACGGTGACAGTGACACGGTGATAGTGACACAGTGACAATGACAGTTACACAGTGACACAGTGACACAGTGACACAGTGACAGTGACACGGTGATAGTGACACAGTGATACGGTGACAGTTACACAGTAACACAGTGACGGTGACAGTGACACAGTGACACAGTGACATAGTGACAGTGACACAGTGACAGTTACACAGTGACACAGTGACATAGTGACAGTGACACAGTGACACGGTGACAGTTACACAGTGACACAGTGACAGTGACACAGTGACAGTGACACAGTGACACGGTGACAGTGACATAGTGACACAGTGACATAGTGACAGTGACACAGTGACAGTTACACAGTGACACAGTGACATAGTGACAGTGACACGGTGACAGTTACACAGTGACAGTGACACAGTGACAGTGACACAGTGACACGGTGACAGTGACATAGTGACACAGTGACACAGTGACAGTGACACAGTGACACGGTGACAGTTACACAGTGACACAGTGACACAGTGACAGTGACACAGTGACACAGTGACAGTTACACAGTGACACAGTGACATAGTGACAGTAACACAGTGACACGGTGACAGTTACACAGTGACACAGTGACAGTGACAGTGACACAGTGACAGTGACAGTGACACAGTGACAGTTACACAGTGACACAGTGACAGTTACACAGTGACACAGTGACATAGTGACAGTGACACGGTGATAGTGACACAGTGACATAGTGACAGTGACACGGTGACAGTGACACGGTGATAGTGACACAGTGACAATGACAGTTACACAGTGACACAGTGACACAGTGACAGTGACACGGTGATAGTGACACAGTGATACGGTGACAGTTACACAGTAACACAGTGACGGTGACAGTGACACAGTGACACAGTGACATAGTGACAGTGACACAGTGACAGTTACACAGTGACACAGTGACATAGTGACAGTGACACAGTGACACGGTGACAGTTACACAGTGACACAGTGACAGTGACACAGTGACAGTGACACAGTGACACGGTGACAGTGACATAGTGACACAGTGACATAGTGACAGTGACACAGTGATAGTTACACAGTGACACAGTGACATAGTGACAGTGACACAGTGACACGGTGACAGTTACACAGTGACAGTGACACAGTGACAGTGACACAGTGACACGGTGACAGTGACATAGTGACACAGTGACACAGTGACACGGTGACAGTTACACAGTGACACAGTGACACAGTGACAGTGACACAGTGACACGGTGACACAGTGACAGTGACACGGTGATAGTGACACGGTGACAGTGACACAGTGACAGTGACACAGTGACAGTGACACAGTGACACAGTGACAGTGACACGGTGATAGTGACACGGTGACACAGTGACAGTGACACAGTGACACAGTGACATAGTGACACAGTGACACGGTGACAGTGACACAGTGACAGTGACACAGTGACACAGTGAGTGACACAGTGACAGTGACACAGTGACATAGTGACACAGTGAGAGTTACAGTTACACAGTGACAGTTACACAGTGACAGTGACACAGTGACAGTTACACAGTTACACAGTGACACAGTGACATAGTGACACAGTGACAGTGACAGTTACACAGTGACACAGTGACAGTTACACAGTGACATAGTGACAGTGACACAGTGACATAGTGACACAGTGACACAGTGACAGTGACACAGTGACAGTGACACAGTGACACGGTGACAGTGACATAGTGACACAGTGACACAGTGACACGGTGACAGTTACACAGTGACACAGTGACAGTGACACAGTGACACGGTGACACAGTGACAGTGACACGGTGATAGTGACACGGTGACAGTGACACAGTGACAGTGACACAGTGACAGTGACACAGTGACACAGTGACAGTGACACGGTGATAGTGACACGGTGACACAGTGACAGTGACACAGTGACACAGTGACATAGTGACACAGTGACACGGTGACAGTGACACAGTGACAGTGACACAGTGACACAGTGAGTGACACAGTGACAGTGACACAGTGACATAGTGACACAGTGAGAGTTACAGTTACACAGTGACAGTTACACAGTGACAGTGACACAGTGACAGTTACACAGTTACACAGTGACACAGTGACATAGTGACACAGTGACAGTGACAGTTACACAGTGACACAGTGACAGTTACACAGTGACATAGTGACAGTGACACAGTGACATAGTGACACAGTGACAGTGACACAGTGACAGTTACACAGTTACACAGTGACAGTGACAGTGACACATGCTACGCAGGAGGTCGTGGTGGCTTCGACCCTGACCCTGACGATGCCTGCTGCTGCTGCTGTAGATTTGTAGTTTGTGTTCCTCTTTCTCTCTCTCGCCGCTCACCTTGAAGAGTCGGCCGTCTGGAGTGATCCACACGACGCCCTCCACCGCTCCGTCAGGGGCCTCTCCGTCCGGGGCCGCTCCGTCAGGGGCCGCTCCGTCAGGGGCCGCTCCGTCAGGGGCCGCTCCGTCAGGGGCCGCTCCGTCCGGGGCCGCTCCGTCAGGGGCCGCTCCGTCCGGGGCCGCTCCGTCCGGGGCCGCTCCGTCCGGGGCCGCTCCGTCCGGGGCCGCTCCGTCCGGGGCCGCTCCGTCAGGGGCCGCTCCGTCAGGGGCCGCTCCGCCAGGGGCCGCTCCGTCCGGGGCCCCACCGAGCCAGCGCCCGACGTCTGCTAGCGTCACGGCGGGAGGCCGCGTCAGCGGCAGGCCGCCGTGCGGCACCAGGAGGTGCGTGGGATTCTGGGAGCTGCCCAGGCCTGCGGGGAGCGGCGGGGGGGGGGGGGGAGTGAAACGTCGGACGTCGTGATGACTCGACGCTCCGTCTACAGCGGCGGGGTATCCTGCACCGAGACAAAGATCCCCCCTGGTGTAGCAGCCTGTAGGGGCGAGTGCCGTTAGTGAGCAGCGCCTACGAAGGCCGGCACGGTGGCACGCAAGGGGGTGGGTGGCCAGCACCACGCCCGGCCGCCTTTGTCTCCCCCAGTGGCGATGTTCGCTACACACCGCACCAGGTACTCATTTGAGGTTCAGTCGACCTAGGGGAGGCCCAGGACCGGTTCAGAAATTTGTCAATGGCGTTGGCCGTGAGCGGGAATCGAACTTGGGTCGCTGGGTTCATAGCGCAGCGTGGCGTGAACCGCTGCACTACCGCTCCCTACACCATCACCACCACCATCACCACCATCACCACCACCACCACCATCATCACCACCATCACCACCCACGACCACCACCACCACCACCACCACCATCACCACCACCACCATCATCACCACCATCACCACCACCATCACCACCACCACCATCACCACCACCATCACCACCACCATCACCACCACCATCACCACCACCATCACCACCACCACCATCACCACCACCACCACCATCATCACCACCATCACCACCACGACCACCACCACAATTACCACCACCATCACCACCACCATCACCACCACCATCATCACCACCATCACCACCACCATCACCACCACCACCATCACCACCACCATCACCACCACCATCACCACCACCACCACCATCACCACCACCATCACCACCACCACCATCACCATCACCACCACCACCATCACCACCACCATCACCACCACCACCACCATCATCACCACCATCATCACCACCACCACCACCACCATCATCACCACCATCACCACCACCATCACCACCACCACCACCATCATCACCACCATCATCACCACCACCACCACCACTACGACCACCACCATCACCACCACCACCATCACCCCCATCACCACTATCATCACCGGCAGTCACTCTCACCGTAGGGGTTGCCGTTGACGTGCGTGCCGATGAGCTCCAGCGATTGGCCAGTGAGCTCCGAGAGGGGCAGCGCCGCGAGGACCAGCGGCTCACGATTGGCCGGCTGCTGCTGCCGGTGCTGCCGCTGATTGGCCGGCTGCTGGTGCTGTTGTCGGCACGGCTGGGCGTCCCCTCCCCGGCGAGGCGCTCCCTGCAGGACCAGGGCACGCCGGCACCGGTGACACAACGCCGCTGCGTGCCACCGGTGCTGGGAGCTCATCCCATCCACCGGCACCCACCCTGCAGGACGGCAAGACGCCTCCGGTGAGGTGGGGGGGGGTGGTGTGCCAGTACAGGAGACGCCCTACAGCTACCACCACTCACCACAGGAGACCCCTACACCTACAACCACTCACCACAGGTGACCCCTACACCTACAACCACTCACCACAGGAGACCCCTACACCTACAACCACTCACCACAGGTGACCCCTACACCTACAACCACTCACCACAGGTGACCCCTACACCTACAACCACTCACCACAGGAGACCCCCTACACCTACAACCACTCACCACAGGTGACCCCTACACCTACAACCACTCACCACAGGAGACCCCTACACCTACAACCACTCACCACAGGTGACCCCTACACCTACAACCACTCACCACAGGAGACCCCTACACCTACAACCACTCACTACAGACAACCCCTACACCTACCACCATTCACCACAGGAGACCCCTACACCTACCACCACTCACCACAGGTGACCCCCTCACCTACAACCACTCACCACAGGAGACCCCTACACCTACCACCATTCACCACAGGAGACCCCTACACCTACCACCACTCACCACAGGTGACCCCCTCACCTACAACCACTCACCACAGGAGACCCCTACACCTACAACCACTCACCACAGGAGACCCCTACACCTACCACCACTCACCACAGGTGACCCCTACACCTACAACCACTCACCACAGGAGACCCCTACACCTACCACCACTCACCACAGGAGACCCCTACACCTACAACCACTCACCACAGGAGACCCCTACACCTACAACCACTCACCACAGGTGACCCCCTCACCTACAACCACTCACCACAGGAGACCCCTACACCTACAACCACTCACCACAGGAGACCCCCTACACCTACAACCACTCACCACAGGTGACCCCCTCACCTACAACCACTCACCACAGGAGACCCCTACACCTACCACCACTCACCACAGGAGACCCTCTCACCTACCACCACTCACCACAGGAGACCCCTACACCTACAACCACTCACCACAGGAGACCCCTACACCTACAACCACTCACCACAGGAGACCCCTACACCTACAACCACTCACCACAGGAGACCCCTACACCTACAACCACTCACCACAGGAGACGCCCTCACCTACAACCACTCACCACAGGAGACCCCTACAACCACTCACCACAACGATCCCCTCACCTACAACCACTCACCACAGGAGACCCCCTACACCTACCACCACTCACCACAGGTGACTCCCTCACCTACAACCACTCACCACAGGTGACTCCCTCACCTACAACCACTCACCACAGGAGACGCCCTCACCTACAACCACTCACCACAGGAGACCCCTACACCTACAACCACTCACCACAGGAGACCCCCTACACCTACAACCACTCACCACAGGAGACCCCTACACCTACAACCACTCACCACAGGTGACCCCTACACCTACAACCACTCACCACAGGAGACTCCCTCACCTACAACCACTCACCACAGGAGACTCCCTCACCTACCACCACTCACCACAGGTGACGCCCTCACCTACAACCACTCACCACAGGTGACCCCTACACCTACAACCACTCACCACAGGAGACCCCTACACCTACCACCACTCACCACAGGAGACGCCCTCACCTACCACCACTCACCACAGGAGACGCCCTCACCTACCACCACTCACCACAGGAGACGCCCTCACCTACAACCACTCACCACAGGAGACCCCTACACCTACAACCACTCACCACAGGAGACCCCTACACCTACAACCACTCACCACAGGTGACCCCTACACCTACAACCACTCACCACAGGTGACCCCTACACCTACAACCACTCACCACAGGTGACCCCTACACCTACCACCACTCACCACAGGTGACCCCTACACCTACCACCACTCACCACAGGTGACCCCTACACCTACAACCACTCACCACAGGAGACCCCTACACCTACAACCACTCACCACAGGTGACCCCTACACCTACAACCACTCACCACAGGTGACCCCTACACCTACAACCACTCACCACAGGTGACCCCTACACCTACAACCACTCACCACAGGAGACCCCTACACCTACAACCACTCACCACAGGAGACCCCTACACCTACAACCACTCACCACAGGTGACCCCTACACCTACAACCACTCACCACAGGTGACCCCTACACCTACAACCACTCACCACAGGTGACCCCTACACCTACAACCACTCACCACAGGTGACCCCTACACCTACAACCACTCACCACAGGAGACCCCTACACCTACAACCACTCACCACAACGATCCCCTCACCTACAACCACTCACCACAGGAGACCCTCTCACCTACAACCACTCACCACAGGTGACTCCCTCACCTACAACCACTCACCACAGGAGACCCCTACACCTACAACCACTCACCACAGGAGACCCCTACACCTACAACCACTCACCACAACGATCCCCTCACCTACAACCACTCACCACAGGTGACCCCTACACCTACAACCACTCACCACAGGAGACCCTCTCACCTACAACCACTCACCACAGACAACCCTCTCACCTACAACCACTCACCACAGGTGACTCCCTCACCTACAACCACTCACCACAGGAGACCCCTACACCTACAACCACTCACCACAGGTGACCCCCTCACCTACAACCACTCACCACAGGAGACCCCTACACCTACAACCACTCACCACAGGTGACGCCCTCACCTACAACCACTCACCACAGGTGACCCCTACACCTACCACCACTCACCACAGGTGACCCCTACACCTACAACCACTCACCACAGGTGACCCCTACACCTACCACCACTCACCACAGGTGACCCCTACACCTACCACCACTCACCACAGGAGACGCCCTCACCTACCACCACTCACCACAGGAGACCCCTACACCTACAACCACTCACCACAGGTGACGCCCTCACCTACAACCACTCACCACAGGTGACCCCTACACCTACAACCACTCACCACAGGAGACCCCTACACCTACAACCACTCACCACAGGTGACGCCCTCACCTACAACCACTCACCACAGGTGACCCCTACACCTACAACCACTCACCACAGGTGACCCCCTCACCTACAACCACTCACCACAGGAGACCCCTACACCTACAACCACTCACCACAGGAGACCCCTACACCTACAACCACTCACCACAGGTGACCCCCTCACCTACAACCACTCACTACAGACAATCCCCTCACCTACAACCATTCACCACACATGGGTTCGATCCAGACCCTGACACCTGCTGCTGCATATTTGGAGTTTGTGTCTCTCCATCTAATCATCATCATCATCAAGGTGGCTATGAGAAGTTAACCACCTCGCCTGGTCTACAGGAGGTCTGTGTCTCTCTCTCATCACCATCATCACGGTGGCTATGAGATGTTAACTACCTCGCCTGGTGTACAGGAGGTCGTGGGTTCGATCCCGACCCTGATGCCTGCTGCTGCTGCTGTATATTTGTAGTTTTGCGGTGTCTCTCTCTCTCTCTCTCCCCCTGGTGGTCGCGTGGATTTTTCTCCGGGTCCCCCACGGTTTTTCCTCCTCCAGGGTTCAGAATCGAGGTCACCACGCGTTCAGGTTATTGGGCCTCTGCGAGAAATGTTCCACGCGGCGACGATGATGGCCCAACTTCGCTGAGCCGCTTTCGTTTTGCGTGTCCACGTGGCGAGCTCAGCAGGGCCTTGCCTGGCCACAGGAAGATTAATAATAGTTTGTCGATTTGAGCTCAGACAATCGCTTCCCACGCCCCACCACGTGAGTGGCGCCAGCAGCCGCTACTGGCGCCGGGGGGTGGGGCACGGGTGACCTCACCCAGCCGGTGACCTCACCCAGCCGGTGACCTCACCCAGCCGGTGACCTCACCCAGCAGGGTGACCTCACCCAGCCGGTGACCTCACCAAGCAGGGTGACGTCACCCAGCCGGTGACCTCACCCAGCAGGTGACCTCACCCAGCAGGGTGACCTCACCCAGCTGGGTGACGTCACCCAACCCTCACCCAGGAGGTGACCTCACCCAGCCGGTGACCTCACCCAGCCGGTGACCTCACCCAGCCAGTGACCTCACCCAGCCGGTGACCTCACCCAGCAGTGACCTCACCCAGCCGGTGACCTCACCCAGCTGGGTGAGGTCACCGGCTGGGTGAGGTCACCCAACCCTCACCCAGGAGGCGACCACACCCAGCCAGTGACCTCACCCAGCCGGTGACCTGACCCAGCAGGTGAACTCACCCAGCCGGTGACCTCACCCAGCCGGTGACCTCACCCAGCCGGTGACCTCACCCAGCCGGTGACCTCACCCAGCTGGGTGAGGTCACCCAACCCTCACCCAGGAGGTGACCTCACCCAGCCAGTGACCTCACCCAGCCGGTGACCTCACCCTGACCTCACCCAGCCAGTGACCTCACCCTGACCTCACCCAGCCGGTGACCTCACCCAGCCGGTGACCTCACCCTGACCTCACCCAGAAGGTGCCCGTTCCCATCGGGCGTGGCTCTCCCCTCCGAGTCCGTGACGCCCGGCGCCGGCACCCACGAGTCCGGCACCGCACGCAGATCTCGCTCCACGTTCCAGCGGAACACTGGGGGGGGAGCGTGAGGAAGCAGGCGGGAAGCATGGGGGGAGCAATCAGGAAGCACGGGCGGAGCAATCAGGAAGCACGGGGGGAGCAATCAGGAAGCATGGGGGGAGCAATCAGGAAGCACGGGCGGAGCAATCAGGAAGCACGGGGGGAGCAATCAGGAAGCATGGGGGGAGCAATCAGGAAGCACGGGGGGAGCAATCAGGAAGCACGGGGGAGCAATCAGGAAACATGGGGGGAGCAATCAGGCAGCATGGGGGGGAGCAATCAGGCAGCATGGGGGGAGCAATCAGGAAGCACGGGGGGAGCAATCAGGAAGCACGGGGGAGCAATCAGGAAGCACGGGGGAGCAATCAGGAAGCACGGGGGAGCAATCAGGAAACATGGGGGGAGCAATCAGGCAGCATGGTGGGAGCAATCAGGAAGCATGGGGGGAGCAATCAGGAAGCATGGGGGGAGCAATCAGGAAGCATGGGGGGAGCAATCAGGAAGCATGGGGGGAGCAATCAGGAAGCACAGGGGGAGCAATCAGGAAGCACGGGGGGAGCAATCAGGAAGCACGGGGGGAGCAATCAGGAAGCATGAGGGGAGCAATCAGGAAGCATGGGGGGAGCAATCAGGAAGCATGGGGGGGAGCAATCAGGAAGCATGGGGGGAGCAATCAGGAAGCACGGGGGGAGCAATCAGGAAGCATGGGGGGAGCAATCAGGAAGCACGGGGGGAGCAATCAGGAAGCACGGGGTGAGCAATCAGGAAGCACGGGGGAGCAATCAAGAAGCACGGGGGAGCAATCAGGAAGCATGGGGGGAGCAATCAGGCAGCATGGGGGGAGCAATCAGGAAGCACGGGGGGAGCAATCTGGAAGCACGTGGGAGCAATCAGGAAGCACGGGGGAGCAATCAGGAAGCACGGGGGAGCAATCAGGAAACATGGGGGGAGCAATCAGGCAGCATGGGGGGGAGCAATCAGGCAGCATGGGGGGAGCAATCAGGAAGCACGGGGGAGCAATCAGGAAGCACGTGGGAGCAATCAGGAAGCACGGGGGAGCAATCAGGAAGCACGGGGGAGCAATCAGGAAGCACGGGGGAGCAATCAGGAAACATGGGGGGAGCAATCAGGCAGCATGGGGGGAGCAATCAGGAAGCATGGGGGGAGCAATCAGGAAGCATGGTGGGAGCAATCAGGAAGCATGGGGGGAGCAATCAGGAAGCACAGGGTGAGCAATCAGGAAGCATGGGGGGAGCAATCAGGAAGCACGGGGGGAGCAATCAGGAAGCACGGGGGGAGCAATCAGGAAAGCACGGGGGGGAGCAATCAGGAAGCATGGGGGGAGCAATCAGGAAGCACGGGGGGAGCAATCAGGCAGCATGGGGGGAGCAATCAGGAAGCATGGGGGGAGCAATCAGGAAGCACGGGGGGAGCAATCAGGAAGCACGGGGGGAGCAATCAGGAAGCATGAGGGGAGCAATCAGGAAGCATGGGGGGAGCAATCAGGAAGCATGGGGGGAGCAATCAGGAAGCACGGGGGGAGCAATCAGGAAGCACAGGGGGAGCAATCAGGAAGCATGGGGGGAGCAATCAGGAAGCACGGGGGGAGCAATCAGGCAGCATGGGGGGAGCAATCAGGAAGCATGGGGGGAGCAATCAGGAAGCATGGGGGGAGCAATCAGGAAGCATGGGTGGAGCAATCAGGAAGCACAGGGGGAGCAATCAGGAAGCATGGGGGGAGCAATCAGGAAGCACGGGGGGAGCAATCAGGAAGCACGGGGGGAGCAATCAGGAAGCATGGGGGGAGCAATCAGGAAGCACGGGGGGAGCAATCAGGCAGCATGGGGGGAGCAATCAGGAAGCAGGGGGGGAGCACTCAGGAAGCACGGGGGGAGCAATCAGGAAGCATGAGGGGAGCAATCAGGAAGCATGGGGGGAGCAATCAGGAAGCATGGGGGGGAGCAATCAGGAAGCATGGGGGGAGCAATCAGGAAGCACGGGGGGAGCAATCAGGAAGCACAGGGGGAGCAATCAGGAAGCATGGGGGGAGCAATCAGGAAGCATGGGGGGAGCAATCAGGAAGCACAGGGGGAGCAATCAGGAAGCATGGGGGGAGCAATCAGGAAGCACGGGGGGAGCAATCAGGAAGCATGAGGGGAGCAATCAGGAAGCATGGGGGGAGCAATCAGGAAGCATGGGGGGGAGCAATCAGGAAGCATGGGGGGAGCAATCAGGAAGCATGAGGGGAGCAATCAGGAAGCATGGGGGGAGCAATCAGGCAGCATGGGGGGGAGCAATCAGGAAGCATGGGGGGAGCAATCAGGAAGCACGGGGGGAGCAATCAGGAAGCATGGGGGGAGCAATCAGGAAGCACGGGGGGAGCAATCAGGAAGCACGGGGTGAGCAATCAGGAAGCACGGGGGAGCAATCAGGAAGCACGGGGGAGCAATCAGGAAGCATGGGGGGGAGCAATCAGGCAGCATGGAGGGAGCAATCAGGAAGCACGGGGGGAGCAATCAGGAAGCACGTGGGAGCAATCAGGAAGCACGGGGGAGCAATCAGGAAGCACGGGGGAGCAATCAGGAAACATGGGGGGAGCAATCAGGCAGCATGGGGGGGGAGCAATCAGGCAGCATGGGGGGAGCAATCAGGAAGCACGGGGGGAGCAATCAGGAAGCACGTGGGAGCAATCAGGAAGCACGGGGGAGCAATCAGGAAGCACGGGGGAGCAATCAGGAAACATGGGGGGAGCAAACAGGCAGCATGGGGGGAGCAATCAGGAAGCATGGGGGGAGCAATCAGGAAGCATGGGGGGAGCAATCAGGAAGCATGGGGGGAGCAATCAGGAAGCACAGGGGGAGCAATCAGGAAGCATGGGGGGAGCAATCAGGAAGCACGGGGGAGCAATCAGGAAGCACAGGGGGAGCAATCAGGAAGCATGGAGGGAGCAATCAGGAAGCACGGGGGGAGCAATCAGGAAGCATGAGGGGAGCAATCAGGAAGCATGGGGGGAGCGATCAGGAAGCATGGGGGGAAGCAATCAGGAAGCATGGGGGGACCAATCAGGAAGCACGGGGGGAGCAATCAGGAAGCATGGGGGGAGCAATCAGGAAGCATGGGGGGAGCAATCAGGAAGCATGGGGGGAGCAATCAGGAAGCACGGGGGGAGCAATCAGGAAGCATGGGGGGAGCAATCAGGAAGCACGGAGGGAGCAATCAGGAAGCATGAGGGGAGCAATCAGGAAGCATGGGGGGAGCAATCAGGAAGCATGGGAGGAGCAATCAGGGAAGCAGGGGGGGAGCAATCAGGAAGCACGGGGGGAGCAATCAGGAAGCATGGGGGGAGCAATCAGGAAGCACGGGGGGAGCAATCAGGAAGCATGGGGGGAGCAATCAGGAAGCACGGGGGGAGCAATCCGGAAGCATGGGGGGAGCAATCAGGAAGCATGGGAGGAGCAATCAGGGAAGCATGGGGGGAGCAATCAGGAAGCACGGGGGGAGCAATCAGGAAGCAGGGGGGGAGCAATCAGGAAGCACGGGGGGAGCAATCAGGAAGCACGGGGGGAGCAGGCAGGAAGCATGGGGGGAGCAATCAGGAAGCATGGGGGAAGCAGGCGGGAAGCATGGGGGGAGCAATCAGGAAGCACGGGGGGAGCAATCAGGAAGCATGGGGGGAGCAATCAGGAAGCATGGGGGAGCAATCAGGAAGCATGGGGGAAGCAGGCGGGAAGCATGGGGGGAGCAATCGGGAAGCACGGGGGGAGCAATCAGGAAGCACGGGGGGAGCAATAAGGAAGCACCGGGGAGCCGCGAGGAAGCACGCGGGAAGCGTGTACAGTGAGCAGAGAGTGTATGCAAGATCAGGGAAGCGATGGTAAGCGAGGGGAGATAACGTTACATAATAAACGAGCTTTTTTACATAGAGAAATAAAAGCATTTAAAAATAAACATTTATCTCCACCTACTTTATTATTTTATCTATATCTATATATATGAAAGGGAAAGTTGTGAATACGTGTGTCTGTTTGAAATGTTGAGCGAACTTTCCGACATGCAACAAACTTGAAATTTGGCATGTGGGTAGCTTCCAGACTGTACACAATGAAAAAAGCATAAAAATAGATTTCGATTTAAAGCTTTCGTGACTGCAAGGATTCATCTTCTTTGGTTCTTTCGGAAAAGTCACGTAGAATGAGAATAAAATAATAAATTGATAAAATAAAATAACACAATAATATTCTCACGACGTTTCGGCCACAACACAAGCGGCCTTCATCAGGTGAAGGGACGAGACCGTCTGGAGCGCTGTCCTCCAGCGCTGTCCTCCAGACGGTCTCGTCCCTTCACCTGAAGAAGGCCGCTTGTGTTGTGGCCGAAACGTCGTGAGAATTTTATCGCGTTACTTCATCGATTCATTATATTATTCTCATTCGACGTGACTTCACACAAATAAGACTTTTGTATCTTGGGGGAGGGCACAACAATAGATGTATCACATTGCACGGCAAGTGAGCGGGTGACGTCACACCTGTGACGTCACACCTGTGACGTCACATCTGTGACGTCACATCTGTGACGTCACATCTGTGACGTCACCCGCATGCCTGCTGACGTCACGCATCCCCGCCCACCCCCGCCCGCCCCCGCCCTCCGCGTCGGCCGCGTACTAATCCAAGGCAAGAATCCAAGTGACGGGCGAGGCCACGCGGTGAAGGCGAGTTTGACGGCAGTGAAAAATGACGGCGTGCGACTGACCCGCTAGGTGCTTGGCCGCTCGGTGGGCAGCGAATCGTCGGGCGGCAGCCCTGTTGGGCTTCCTGTCGAGCCGAGCCCACAGGCAGGCCGCCCCTGGCCACGCACACACACAGGCAAAGATCCCCCGTGTGGCCTCGGCACACCGTGGGGGCAAGTGCACAATGAACTGCACTATACGCTACACTATACACTACATTACTATACACTACACTACTATACACTACAGTGTAGTGTATAGTAGTGTAGTGACTACACTATACACTACTATACCACACTATACACTACACTACTATACACTACACTATACACTACATTACACTACTATACACTACACTATACACTACACTACTATACACTACACTATACACTACACTACGATACACTACACTACTATACACTACATTACTATACACTACATTACTATACACTACATTACTATATACCACGCTATACACTACACTATACACTACATTACTATACACCACACTATACACTACATTACTATACACCACACTATACACCACACTATACATTACATTACTATACACTACTACACACTACACTACATTACTATACACTACACTACTACACACTACACTATACACTACATTACTATACACTACATTACTATACACTACATTACTATACACTACATTACTACACACTACACTATACACTACATTACTATACACTACTATACACTACATTACTATACACTACACTATACACTACATTACTATACACTACACTACAATACACACAATATACACTACACTATACACTACACTATACACTACACTATACACTACACACAATATACACTACAATATACACTACACTATACACTACACTATACACTACACTATACACTACACTATAATATACACTATAATATACACTACAATATACACTACACTATACACTACACACTACACTATACACTACATTATACACTACACTATACACTACACTATACACTACAATATACACTACACTATACACTACACTATACACTACAGTCGGCAGCCTATGGCTCGCGAGCCAGATTTGGCTCTTTTGATGACTGCATCTGGCTCGCAAATAAATCTTAGCTGACGTTTCATAACATAAGTAGTGAATAATTCCGTTGACATTAAAGTAAGACATTACCGAAATCACAGTGTTAAAAATAACGTTTAAAATATAAAGCATTCTCACGCATTTTAATCCATCCATCCATTTTCTACCGCTCCTGCTCAGGGTTGCAGGTGGCTGGAGCCAATCCCAGCTATCCGACACCAAAACTCTATTTTTATTGGATAATGCGGTAGCCTAGGGGTCGTTGTGAGGTCAAGAAGTAAACTTCCGTCCTTTTAATCCAACAGTCAGCTAGCTAATGTATGCAGAGCAAACCCATTTTGATGAAGATGGCAAAAAGAAAAAAACGATGAGGAGTACCGCACAGTTCAGCACGAATGGACGGAAGAATTCGCCTTTGTGGAGAGAGAGAGGGAAGGTTCTGCGGTGCGTCTGACATGCAGTGATAAAATTTAATCGATGAAACGGTCAAATATAGAGCGGCACTTCGGCACACGCCATGCTGCATCTGCATCGAAATATCCAGCGGGGGACAGCAGAAAGAAGGCATGCGCCAAGAGAGCTACTGTCCAGGGCGCAAGCTAGTCACCAGCAACTCCGTGTATGCACCAGACAAGGTGACGGGAATTCGGATAGCTTTGCTGGTCCTTTAGCAATTGTGAGGGAACGGAAATCCATTCACAGATGGCGAGTATGCCAACACATTCACGGCTTGATGTGGCCAACCAACGTTTTGACGACTTTTCGGATGAAGACAAGATGATCAAACGAATAAAAGACACGCCTCTGTCGGCAAAAGCTGCTCACGAGCGTACCGTAATGATGGCAAATCAAGTGGAGGAAGCACAAGCGAAGGACATAAATGCTGCTCCATACTGTTCCCTCGCTTTGGATGAGTCAACGGACGTAAGTCATTCATCCCAGTTCAGTGCGATTGCAAGGTACGCTGCAGGTGACACACCGCGTGAGGAAAGTCTTGCTGACTTGCCAATGAAAGGGTCAACGAGAGGGGAGGAGGATTTATTCAAGTCTTTCATCGAGTTCGCGAAAGAAAAAAATCTACACCGATGGATAAGCTTATATTTTGATTTAAAGCTTTCGCGTGACTGCAATAATTCATATTCTTAGCTCTTTCGGGAAAGTCACGTTGAAGGGAAACAATAAAAAATATATATAAAACAATAAAAATTCTCACGACGTTTCGACCATAACACAAACGGTCGTCATCAGGTGTGTCGGTTTGCATTTAACGGATGAAAGCCTCAACGCCTGCATGACGCTTAACCTCACCACTTATCAACCAGACTACAAAGCCATCAGCAAAACCATGCAGCACCAGAAGTCGCATTAATGGTAAGAAGTATTTTATTTATTATTGGTTGTTGGTATAACGTTATTAAAAAGGATACATTCAGAGACTTATCATATTCGAAAATTGGTGATCTTAGTTAAAGATACACGAATTTAGTTGTATTCAGTCTTAAAAAAAATATTATATGGCTCTCACGGAAATTTATTTTAAAATATGTGGCTTTCATGGCTCTCTCAGCCAAAAAGGTTCCCGACCCCTGCACTACACTATACAATACATTATACACTACTATACCACACTATACACTACTATACCACACTATACACTTCACTAGTACACTATACACTACACTATTATACACTACAACTAATATACACTTCACTACACTACTATACACTACTATACCACACTATACACTACACTACTATACACTACACAATACACTACATTACACTACACTACTATACACTACACTATTATACACTACACTACTATACCACACTATACACTACTATACCACACTATACACTACACTACTATACACACTACACTACTATACCACACTATATACTACTATACACTACACTATACACTACATTACTATACACTACACTACTATACCACACTATACACTACTATACACTACACTAAACATTACACTAAACACACTATACACTACACTACTATACCACACTATACACTACTATACACTACACTGCTATACACTACACAACTATACACTACACTACTCTATTATACACTACTACACTACACTACTATACACTACACTATACACTACTGTACACTACAGTACACTACACACTACACTACTATACACTACACTATACACTACTATACACTAAACTATACACTTCACACTACACTACTATACACTACACTAGACACTACTATACACTACACTACTATACATGACACTATACACTACACTATACACTACAATACACTAGACTACTATACACTACATACTACACTATATACTACACTATACACTACAATACACTACACTATACACTACACTGTACACTACATACTACACTATACACTGCAATACTATACACTACATACTACACTATACAGTACACTACTATACACTATATACTACACTATACACTACACTATACACTACTATACACTACACTATACACTACTATACACTACACTATACACTACACTACTACACACTACACTACTATACACTACTACACACTACACTATACACTACACTACTACACACTACACTGCTATACACTACACTACTCTATTATACACTACTACACTACTATACACTACACTATACACTACTGTACACTACAGTACACTACACACTACACTACTATACACTACACTATACACTAAACTATACACTTCACACTACACTACTATACACTACACTAGACACTACTATATATGACACTATACACTACACTACTATACACTACACTATACACTACACTACTATACACTACATACTACACTATACACTACAATACACTATACACTACACTGTACACTACATACTACACTATACACTACAATACTATACACTACATACTATACTATACACTACTATACACTATATACTACACTATACTACTATACACTACACTACAATACACTACACTACTATACACTACACTACTATACACTACACTACTAAACACTACACTACACTATACACTACTGTACACTACACTATACACTACATACTACACTACACTACTGTACACTACACTATACACTACACTATACACATACTGTACATGACACGACACCTTTGGCTGGCTATCAAGCAACGACGGCCACCGCGGCGCTTTCAGATCGCGCTGCGTCTGCGGCCGTCTGGAACGCTCTTCCCTTCCAATACTGGGAGGCCGCTGGGAGCTGCGACGCCACTTGGAAATCGTCGTCGACACCGACGAACCAATGTCTTTAGAACTGCTCCTTGTTGTTGTTGTCCTTCCCGCAGCACCTCCGCTTGGCTACGTACGGTGGTGCACGTGCACACGACACATCTGTGTAATGACCTCTATCCGTCGCATCAGTGTCCCGAATGATGATAACAAAACGATGCAAACTTCCAGTGTCACAATAATAATAATTTTGCAGGCGGCGTGTTTCATCCGTAGAGCCCCACCGCGTATGGAAAGCATGGAAATAAACGGAACCAGTTGGGTAAACGGGGCAGGACTAGACAGAGGGGTGAAGGCCAATTTACCGACTCACCCACCTACAAACCCACTCATCAACTCACCCACCTACTCACCCACTCGCCCACCGATTCACCCCCTCGCCAACCTACTCACCCACTCACTCGCAAACTCGCCCACCTATTCACCCCCTTACCAACCTACTCACCCACTCACTCGCAAACTCGCCCACCTATTCACCTACTCACTCGCCAAATCACCCGCCTACTCGCCCACTCACCCAATCACCCACCTACTCACCCACTCACTCGCAAACACGCCCACGTATTTACCTACTCACCCACTCACTCGCCAAATCACCCACCCACTCGCCCACTCACTCGCCACCTCACTCACCTACTCACCCACTCACTCGCCAACTCACCTACCCACTCGCCAACTCAGTCACCTACTTACTCACCTACTCGCCCACTCACTCGCCAACTTACCTACCTACTCACCCACTCACTCGACAACTCACCTACCCACTCACTCACCAACTCACCTAACTACTCACCCACCCACTCGACAACTCACCCACCTACTAACCCACTCACTCGCCAACTCACCCACCTACTCGCCCACTCAGGCACCTACTCGCCCACTCGGGCACCTACTCACTTGCCAACTCACCCACCTACATGCCAACTCACCCACCTACATGCCAACTCACCCATTCACATGCTAACTCACCCACGCATCCACCCACTCACCCGACAACTCACCCACCGATTCGCCCACTCACCCACCTACTTGCCCACTCACTCACCCACCCACCCACTCACCCACTCACCCACCTACTCACCCACTTACTCACCAACTCACCCACCTATTCGCCCACTCACCCACCAACTCACCCACCTATTCGCCCACTCACCCACCTATTCGCCCACTCACCCACCAACTCACCCACCTACTCGCCCACTCACCCACCAACCCACCCACTCACTTGCCAACTCACCCACCTACTCGCCCACTCACCCACATACTCACCCACCTACTCACCCACTCACTCACCCACTCACCCACTCACACTCTCACAGGTGGTGGCAGTGGCTAGGGGACGCCTCCATCCAGCAGCGGATGGACCACGGCCGCGGCTCCGTTCTTTACCTGCGCGCTCGGTCACATAGCAGCACGTGCCGTCCACCTTCTCGGTGGCCACGGCGGCTGCGACCCCAGACTCTACGGCGTCCGGGTTCAACTCCTCAGTAGCCAAGACTTTAAACGGCTGCACGCACACACAAAGATACAAAGATCCCCCATATAGCCTTAACAGACTGTAGGGGCAAGTGCTGTTAGCGAGCACCTATGAAGGCCGGAACGGTACACGAGGGGGTGGGTGGCCAGCACCACGCCCGACCGCCTTTGTCTCCCTAGTGGCAATGTCTACACACCGCACCAGGTACTCATTTGAGGCTGAGTCGACCTAGGGGAGGCCCGGGACCGGTTCAGATAATCGTCACTGGTGTTGGCCGTGAGCGGGAATCGAACCCGGGTCGCCAGGTTCATAGCGCAGCGCGCTAACCGCTACACTACCGTTCCCCACACACACACACGCGTACACACACGCACACGCGTACACACAGGCATACACACACGCACACGCGTACACACACGCATACACACACGCACACGCGTACACACACGCGTACACACACGCGTACACACACGCGTACGCACACGCGCACGTACGCATTCGCACACACGCGCACGCACTCGCGCACGCACACACACATACACCCGCTCACACACGCGCACACACACACGGACACACGCGCTCACACACACACACGCGCACACACACACACACACGCGCTCACACACACACACACACGCGCACAGACACACACACGCGCACACGTGCTCACACACGCGCACACACACGCACACGAAATAAAACCAAAGATAAAAGATCGTCCCGCCCCCCGTGTAGCATTTAGCAAAGCCGCTGGGGGGGTAAGTGTGGACAGCGAGCACCTTGTCAAAGACATAACGCCGTCTCCGCTCGTTAACGCCGCACGTGTGTGCGTGTGTGCGTGTGTGCGTGTGTGTGCGAGCGTGTGTGTGTGCGTGTGTGCGAGCGTGTGTGTGTGAGCGTGCGTGTGTGCGCGTGTGTGTGCGTGTGTGCGTGTGTGTGTGCGTGCGTGTGTGCGAGCGTGTGTGTGTGAGCGTGCGTGTGCGTGTGTGTGTGTGTGTGCGAGCGTGTGTGTGTGCGTGTGTGCGAGCGTGTGTGTGTGAGCGTGCGTGTGTGCGTGTGTGTGTGCGTGCGTGTGTGCGAGCGTGTGTGTGTGAGCGTGCGTGTGCGTGTGTGCGTGCGTGTGTGTGTGCGTGTGTGTGTGCATGCGTGCGTGTGTGCGAGCGTGTGTGTGTGCGCGTGCGTGTGCGCGTGTGTGCGTGCGTGCGTGTGTGCGAGCGTGTGTGTGTGAGCGTGCGTGCGTGTGTGTGTGTGTGCGTGTGTGTGTGCGTGCGTGTGTGCGAGCGTGTGTGTGTGAGCGTGCGTGTGCGTGTGTGCGAGCGTGTGTGTGTGCGTGTGTGTGTGAGCGTGCGTGCGTGTGTGCGTGTGTGTGTGCGTGCGTGTGTGCGAGCGTGTGTGTGCGTGCGTGTGTGTGCGTGTGTGTGCGAGCGTGTGTGTGCGAGCGTGTGTGTGTGAGCGTGCGTGTGCGTGTGTGCGTGTGTGTGTGTGTGCGTGCGTGTGTGTGTGTGCGTGTGTGCGAGCGTGTGTGTGTGTGCGTGCGTGTGTGCGAGCGTGTGTGTGTGAGCGTGTGTGTGCGAGCGTGTGCACACGCTGCGCTACGAACCCGGCTATGACCCGAGTTCGATTCCCGCTCACGGCCAACACCACCGGTGACGATTATCTGAACCGGTCCTTGGGGCCTCCGCTAGGTCGACTCAGCCTCAAACGAGTACCCGGTGCGGTGCGTAAAAACATCGCCACTGGGGGAGGAGACAAAGGCGGCTGGGCGTGGTGCTGGCCACCCACCCCCTCGTGTGCCGCTCCGGCCTTCGTAGGTGCTCGCTACAACAGCACTTGCCCCAACAGTCTGTTGAGGCTACACACGGGGGATCTTTGTCTTTGTGTGCGTGCGTGCCGTCGAGCGAAGCACACGAGCCCCGGCTTCTGCCGTGTGGAAAAACCAACGGTGGCGGCCTTGCCGTGAGGGCCGTGCCGGTGCTGGCTCGGCCCGGCACGGCCCGGCACGGCCCGGCACGGCACGTGGAGGCGTGTCACTCGCCTGGTCGCGCCGTTTTGACGCGGGGCAGGGAAACACGGAGACCGTGAAGACGCAGGGGATTTTCTGCTGAACGCAGACTTCAGGATGCAGCATTGTTGTGTTGTTGTTGTTGGTTGTTGTTGGTTGTTGTTGTCGTCGGGTTTTCTGAAGACGTGAAAAAGGCACAAGTGGGAGGCGGGGCATGACACTGCTTCAGCGCACTCGAGCAGAAACTGCTAAAACTAAACTAGTTTTGTTACAATGAATAAAACGACGTCTGTCACAACAAACTATCCGTCTCAAATGGCTCTCACCTGGTTACATCAATGAACTTTGCAATACAGGGACTCCTCCACTTACGAACTTTCAGAGATACGAACAAACCTGGTCCGTACGTCCAGTTGCCAGTTCGGACCGAGAGTCATAAGTTCAACCACCGCGCAATAGATGGCGGTGGTGGCATCTACATCTACAGAACGTGAAGAACCAGTGGCATCTACATCTGCAGAACGTGAAGAACCAGCGGCATCTACATCTGCAGAACGTGAAGAACCAGTGGCTTCTACGTGGCATCTGCAGAACGTGAAGAACCAGTGGCATCTACATCAACAGAACGTGAATAACCAGTGGCATCTACATCTGCAGAACGTGAAGAACCAGTGGCATTTACTTCTGCAGAACGTGAAGAACCAGTGGCATCTACATCTGCAGAACGTGAATAACCAGTGGCATCTACATCTGCAGAACGTGAAGAACCAGTGGCATCTACAGAACGTGAAGAACCAGTGGCATCTACATCTGCAGAACGTGAAGAACCAGTGGCATCTACATCTGCAGAACGTGAAGAACCAGTGGCATCTACATCTACAGAACGTGAAGAACCAGTGGCATCTACATCTGCAGAAGATGAAGAACCAGTGGCATCTACATCTGCAAAACGTGAAGAACCAGTGGCATCTACATCTACAGAACGTGAAGAACCAGTGGCATCTACATCTGCAGAATGTGAAGAACCAGTGGCATCTACATCTGCAGAACGTGAAGAACCAGTGGCATCTTCATCTGCAGAACGTGAAGAACCAGTGACATCTACATCTGCAAAACGTGAAGAACCAGTGGCATCTACATCTGCAGAACGTGAAGAACCAGTGGCATCTACATCTGCAGAAGATGAAGAACCAGTGGCATCTACATCTGCAGAACATGAAGAACTAGTGGCATCTACATCACATGAAGAACCAGTGACATCTACATCTGCAGAACGTGAAGAACCAGTAGTACACTCACTACTAGTACACTCACCACTACACTCACCACTAGTACACTCACTACTAGTACACTCACCACTACACTCACTACTAGTACACTCACCACTACACTCACCACTAGTACACTCACTACTAGTACACTCACTACTACACTCACCACTAGTACACTCACTACTTGTACACTCACCACTACACTCACCATTAGTATACTCACCAACACATTCACCACTAGTACACTCACCACTAGTACACTCACCACTAGTACACACACCACTAGTACACTCACCACTAGTACACTCACCACTAGTACACTCACCACTAGTACACTCACCACTAGTACACTCACCACTAGTACTCTCACTACTAATACACTCACCACTACACTCACCACCACAAACCTGTCAACCCCTTATCAGTGCCCTACCTTACTACAGACTAACTCAGATCCTTATTGGTCACCCCGCGCCCCTTATCAATCTCAACGTTCATCCTACAAAGTTCCATCACAAGGAGAGAAACACGAACAAAACAGCCAGACAGTTTTTAAAGCTCAATTTCCCCGCACAATAATAAAGTTAAACCGTGTGGGGGTTCGGCACGGAACGATTATAAAGATTATATAATCGATATGATCCGTCACGGATGATTATAAAGATGATATAATCGATATCATCGTCACACCAACAACATCGGCTCACACGTGGAGGTTTGCAGGCACGTTGCTGATGGGAAAGCAAGCAACGCGTTTTATTGTGGTGCTCTTCCGTCTTCCGGAAGAGTATCATATGCTTTGGGCGCGCCACCGAGATTCGGGTAAAATATCTTCCAGAAGAGGAAGATGAGTGTGCTACCATCTGCTTTTGTGGTGCTTCTTCCGTCTTCCGGAAGACGATCAAATGCATTGAGCGCCCCACACACCCCCTCCCACTGAGATTCGGGTAGATATCTTCCAGAAGAAGAAGATACAAGCTCTACCCCCTGTTTTTTGGGTGGCGGGAGAGGCAGGGATCCGGTGTGGGTAGGCTCAACTTCCGGAAGGGGAAGATTGCTAGATATCTTCCGGAAGATGAATATCAAATATAGTTCCCAAAATATAAAATATATTTTGATTTAAAGCTTTCGAGACTGCAGTAATTCATATTCTTAGCTCTTTCGGTAAAGTTACGTTGAAGGGAAACAATAAAATAATAATATATATAAAAAATAAAAATTCTCACGACGTTTCGGCCATAACACAAACGGCCGTCATCAGGTGTGTCGGTTATCATAATTTTTTTATTTTTTATAAATAAATACACCGTTTAAAAATAAATAAATTTATGCAAACCGACACACCTGATGACGACCGTTTGTGTTATGGTCGAAACGTCGTGAGAATTTTTATTGTTTTATATATATTTTATTATTTTATTGTTTCCCATCAACGTAACTTTACCGAAAGAGCTAAGAATATAAAATATATCTTCCGGAAAAAAGTAAATATAACATAAAATAAAATGTGATCTTCCAAAAGATAAAATAAGTATTCCAGATTAAAATTATATCATCCAGAAGATTAAATAAGTATTCCAGATTAAAATTATATCTTCCAGAATATAAAATAAGTATTCCAGATTAAAATTATACCTTCCAGAAGATTAAATAAGTATTCCAGATTAAAATTATATCTTCCAGAATATAAAATAAGGATTCCAGATTAAAATTATATCTTCCAGAATATAAAATAAGGATTTCAGATTAAAATTATATCTTCCAGAAGATAAAATAAGGATTCCAGATTAAAATTGTATCTTCCAGAATATAAAATAAGTATTCCAGATTAAAATTATATCTTCCAGAAGATAAAATAAGTATTCCAGATTAAAATTATACCTTCCAGAAGATTAAATAAGTATTCCAGATCAAAATTATATCTTCCAGAAGATAAAATAAGTATTCCAGATTAAAATTATATCTTCCAGAAGATAAAAAAGTATTCCAGATTAAAATGATACCTTCCAGAAGATTAAATAAGTATTCCAGATTAAAATTATACCTTCCAGAATATAAAATAAGTATTCCAGATCAAAATTATACCTTCCAGAATATAAAATAAGTATTCCAGATTAAAATTATATCTTCCAGAAGATTAAATAAGTATTCCAGATTAAAATCATACCTTCCAGAAGATAAAATAAGTATTCCAGATTAAAATTATACCTTCCAGAAGATAAAATAAGTATTCCAGATTAAAATTATACCTTCCAGAAGATAAAATAAGGATTCCAGATTAAAATTATACCTTCCAGAAGATTAAATAAGTATTCCAGATCAAAATTATATCATCCAGAAGATAAAATACGTATTCCAGATTAAAATTATACCTTCCAGAATATAGAATAAGTATTCCAGATCAAAATTATATCATCCAGAAGATTAAATAAGTATTCGAGATTAAAATTATACCTTCCAGAATATAAAATAAGTATTCCAGATCAAAATTATATCATCCAGAAGATAAAATAAGTATTCCAGATTAAAATTATATCTTCCAGAAGATTAACTAAGTATTCCAGATTAAAATCATACCTTCCAGAAGATAAAATAAGTATTCCAGATTAAAATTATACCTTCCAGAAGATAAAATAAGTATTCCAGATTAAAATTATACCTTCCAGAAGATAAAATAAGGATTCCAGATTAAAATTATACCTTCCAGAAGATTAAATAAGTATTCCAGATCAAAATTATATCATCCAGAAGATTAAATAAGTATTCCAGATTAAAATTATACCTTCCAGAATATAAAATAAGTATTCCAGATTAAAATTATATCTTCCAGAAGATAAAAAAAGTATTCCAGATTAAAATTATACCTTCCAGAAGATTAAATAAGTATTCCAGATTAACATTATACCTTCCAGAATATAAAATAAGTATTCTAGATAAAAAATTATATCTTCCAGAATATCAAATATAAATATTCCCGATTAAAATATCTTCCAGAAGATAAAATACATCATCCAGATTAAAATAATACCTTCCAGAATATCAAATAAGTATTCCTAGATTAAAATCATACCTTCCAGAATATAAAATAAGTATTCCAGATTAAAATTATATCTTCCAGAATATAAAATAAGTATTCCAGATTAAAATTATATCTTCCAGAATATAAAATAAGTATTCCTAGATTTAAATTATACCTTCCAGAATATAAAATAAGTATTCCAGATAAAAATTATATCTTCCAGAATATCAAATATAAATATTCCAGATTAAAATAATATCTTCCAGAAGATAAAATACATCTTCCAGATTAAAATAATATCTTCCAGAATATCAAATAACTATTCCTAGATTTAAATTATACCTTCCAGAATATGAAATTCATCTTCTTTGGTTCGTTCGGTAAAGTCACGTAGAATGAGAATAAAATAATAAATTGAAAAAATAAAATAACACAATAATATTCTCACGACGTTTCGGCCACAACACAAACGGCCTTCATCAGGTGAAGGGACGAGACTGTCTGGAGGACAGATTAAAATTATATCTTCCAGAAGATTAAAAAACATCTTCCAGATTAAAATAATACCTTCCAGAATATAAAATAAGTATTTCTAGATTTAAATTATATCTTCCAGAATATAAAATACATCTTCCAGATTAAAATTGTATCTTCCAGAAGACTAAAAAAACACATCTTCCAGAAGATTTTTCAGAAGATGAAAATGGCTGCCAGAAGGAGCAGAGACCGTCTCGCATAACCCCACGTCGACACCGCTAAGCCAATCGGCGACGCGGATGGGGCCTGACCCCCCCCACCCGCTTATGATTCTGACCAATCGCAGAGCCGATTTCATTCAGCACCTCCCCCCCCCTCCCACCGTGTAACCTTTGCAAGGAGCGATCCTATTGGTAGGTTCGTAGCCCGTGTGTTGAATGGTTCAGATCGCTAAATGTAACGGGGTTAGTGGAGCGAGCGCTAAAGCAAACTAAAAGTTAACTTAATCCGACGACTTCTGAGGAATTACCGTGAGTTTTATTTACGACTTTGTTGTTGTTGTGGTTGTACCAACTCCTGAACGTTCATAACGAGAGTAGTTTATATTCTTGGTTCTTTCGGTAAAGTCGCGTAGAAGGGAAACAATAAAATAAAAAAATATAAAACAATATTATTATTTTATTGTTTCCCTTCTACGTGGTGATTTTACCGAAAGAACCGAGAATATGAATCACTGCAGTCACGAAAGCTTTAAATCAAAACGAGAAGTTTAACGAGGCAGAGAATCGAGCGTTGTTACGACTTAAAATTAAAGCTTAAAGATTTAAAGCTTTCGTGACTGCAATGATTCATCTTCTTTGGTTCTTTCGGTAAAGTCACGTAGAATGAGAATAAAATAATACATTGATACAATAAAATAACATAACACAATAATATTCTCACGACGTTTCGGCCACAACACAAGCGGCACAGCGCTGGAGTGAGAGAGCCACGTTCAGATCACGACCTTTAAGCTGTGTGAGAGGAAACAAAGCGCCTTGACAAAGGAATTAGCATAGAATTTAGCATTGAAATGGCTGAATGATTAGCTTGTGACTGGTCACAGAAATAGCTATGTTAAAAGTTAAAGCATACACATCCGCAGAGGCACCCCTTGACAAAGGAATTAGCATATAATTTAGCATTGAAATAGCATAGAATTTAGCTATTTCTGTGACCAGTTACAAGCTAATCACTCAGCCATTTCAATGCTAAATTATATGCTAATTCCTTTGTCAAGGCGCTTTGTTTCTTCTGACACAGCTTAAAGGTCGTGATCTGAACGTGGCTCTTTAACTCCAGCGCTGTGCCGCTTGTGTTGTGGCCGAAACGTCGTGAGAATATTATTGTGTTATGTTATTTTATTTTATCAATTTATTATTTTATTCTCATTCTACGTGACTTTACCGAAAGAACCAAAGAAAACGATCTAATTGTATTTATTTGATATATATTTTTTTGTTTTGTTTAAAATCATAGAACGCTTTAACGCAAGGGGATCGTCGCCCGAAACGTCGTCTATCGCGTGCACGGCCGAATGGTTTAGACAATTGAGAGTTGCAGATGCTTGAAAAGGTGCATTGGAGTATACGGGTCCCGGTACTGGAACGTGGAATTTCCGGCACCGTGGGGGTGATAGATGAAACTTCTAAATGCGATTGATTGTAACGTGTGGACAAGGTGCGCGCGTAACTCCACGCACATCCGATTTGCCACGGCTGGCTACGTACGGTGCGAAAGAAGTTCAACGCACTTTATACATACATAGAGATCCATAGATTCACACAGAGACCCATAGACTCACACAGAGACACATAGACTCACACAGAGACACATAGACTCACACAGAGACACATAGACTCACACAGAGACACATAGACTCACACAGAGACCCATAGACTCACACAGAGACACATAGACTCACACAGAGATCTATAGACTCACACAGAGACACATAGACTCACACAGAGACCCATAGACTCACACAGAGATCCATAGACTCACACAGAGACCCATAGACTCACACAGAGACCCATAGACTCACAGAGATACATAGACTCACACAGAGACCCATAGACTCGCACAGAGACACATAGACTCACACAGAGACGCATAGACTCACACAGAGAGCCATAGACTCACACAGAGACACATAGACTCACACAGAGATCTATAGACTCACACAGAGACACATAGACTCACACAGAGACCCATAGACTCACACAGATCCATAGACTCACACAGAGACCCATAGACTCACACAGAGACCCATAGACTCACAGAGATACATAGACTCACACAGAGACCCATAGACTCACACAGATACCCATAGACTCACACAGAGACACATAGACTCTCACAGAGAGCCATAGACTCACACAGAGACCCATAGACTCACACAGAGATCTATAGACTCACACAGAGACCCATAGACTCACACAGAGACTCATAGACTCACACAGAGATCGATAGACTCACACAGAGACCCATAGACTCACACAGAGACCCATAGACTCACAGAGATACATAGACTCACACAGAGACCCATAGACTCACACAGCGACCCATAGACTCACACAGAGACACATAGACTCTCACAGAAAACCATAGACTCACACAGAGACACATAGACTCACAGAGATACATAGACTCACACAGAGACCCATAGACTCACACATAGACCCATAGACTCACAGAGACCCATAGACTCACAGAGATACATAGACTCACACAGAGACCCATGGACTCACACAGAGACCCATAGACTCACACAGAGACACAGACTCTCACAGAGAGCCATAGACTCACACAGAGACCCATAGACTCACACAGAGATCTATAGACTCACACAGAGACCCATAGACTCACACAGAGAACCCATAGACTCACACAGAGACCCATAGACTCACAGAGACCCATAGACTCACACAGAGACCCATAGACTCACACAGAGACCCATAGACTCACACAGAGACACATAGACTCTCACAGAGAGCCATAGACTCACACAGAGACACATAGACTCACAGAGACCCATAGACTCACACAGAGACCCATAGACTCACAGAGACCCATAGACTCACAGAGATACATAGACTCACACAGAGACCCATGGACTCACACAGAGACCCATAGACTCACACAGAGACACAGACTCTCACAGAGAGCCATAGACTCACACAGAGACCCATAGACTCACACAGAGATCTATAGACTCACACAGAGACCCATAGACTCACACAGAGACCCATAGACTCACACAGAGATCTATAGACTCACACAGAGACCCATAGACTCACACAGAAACCCATAGACTCACACAGAGACCCATAGACTCACAGAGTTACATAGACTCACACAGAGACCCATAGACTCACACAGAGACCCATAGACTCACACAGAGACACATAGACTCTCACAGAGAGCCATAGACTCACACAGAGACACATAGACTCAAAGAGATACATAGACTCACACAGAGACCCATTGACTCACACAGAGACCCATAGACTCACACAGAGACCCATAGACTCACAGAGATACATAGACTCACACAGAGACCCATAGACTCACACAGAGACCCATAGACTCACACAGAGACACATAGACTCTCACAGAGAGCCATAGACTCACACAGAGACCCATAGACTCACACAGAGATCTATAGACTCACACAGAGACCCATAGACTCACACAGAGACTCATAGACTCACACAGAGATCCATAGACTCACACAGAGACCCATAGACTCACACAGAGACACATAGACTCACACAGAGACCCATAGACTCACACAGAGATCTATAGACTCACACAGAGACACATAGACTCACACAGAGACACATAGACTCACACAGAGAGCCATAGACTCACAAAGACACATAGACTCACACAGAGATCTATAGACTCACACAGAGACACATAGACTCACACAGAGATCCATAGACTCACACAGAGACCCATAGACTCACACAGAGAACCATAGACTCACACAGAGACCCATAGACTCACACAGAGACACATAGACTCTCACAGAGAGCCATAGACTCACACAGAGACCCATAGACTCACACAGAGATCTATAGACTCACACAGAGACCCATAGACTCACACAGAGTCTCATAGACTCACACAGAGACCCATAGACTCACACAGAGACCCATAGACTCACACAGAGACACATAGACTCTCACAGAGAGCCATATGCTCACACAGTGACCCATAGACTCACACAAAGACACATAGACTCACACAGAGACCCATAGACTCACACAGAGAACCATAGACTCACACAGAGACACATAGACTCACACAGAGACCCATAGACTCACACAGAGACCCATAGACTCACACAGAGACACATAGACTCACACAGAGACCCATAGACTCACACAGAGACCCATAGACTCACACAGAGAACCCATAGACTCACACAGAGACCCATAGACTCACTGAGATACATAGACTCACACAGAGACCCATAGACTCACACAGAGACCCATAGACTCACACAGAGACACATAGACTCTCACAGAGAGCCATAGACTCACACAGAGACACATAGACTCACAGAGACCCATAGACTCACACAGAGACCCATAGACTCACACAGAGACCCATAGACTCACACAGAGACACATAGACTCTCACAGAGAGCCATAGACTCACACAGAGACCCATAGACTCACACAGAGATCTATAGACTCACACAGAGACCCATAGACTCACACAGAGTCTCATAGACTCACACAGAGATCCATAGACTCACACAGAGACCCATAGACTCACACAGAGACCCATAGACTCACACAGAGATCTATAGACTCACACAGAGACCCATAGACTCACACAGAAACCCATAGACTCACACAGAGACCCATAGACTCACAGAGTTACATAGACTCACACAGAGACCCATAGACTCACACAGAGACCCATAGACTCACACAGAGACACATAGACTCTCACAGAGAGCCATAGACTCACACAGAGACACATAGACTCAAAGAGATACATAGACTCACACAGAGACCCATTGACTCACACAGAGACCCATAGACTCACACAGAGACCCATAGACTCACAGAGATACATAGACTCACACAGAGACCCATAGACTCACACAGAGACCCATAGACTCACACAGAGACACATAGACTCTCACAGAGAGCCATAGACTCACACAGAGACCCATAGACTCACACAGAGATCTATAGACTCACACAGAGACCCATAGACTCACACAGAGACTCATAGACTCACACAGAGATCCATAGACTCACACAGAGACCCATAGACTCACACAGAGACACATAGACTCACACAGAGACCCATAGACTCACACAGAGATCTATAGACTCACACAGAGACACATAGACTCACACAGAGACACATAGACTCACACAGAGAGCCATAGACTCACAAAGACACATAGACTCACACAGAGATCTATAGACTCACACAGAGACACATAGACTCACACAGAGATCCATAGACTCACACAGAGACCCATAGACTCACACAGAGACCCATAGACTCACACAGAGACACATAGACTCTCACAGAGAGCCATAGACTCACACAGAGACCCATAGACTCACACAGAGATCTATAGACTCACACAGAGACCCATAGACTCACACAGAGTCTCATAGACTCACACAGAGATCCATAGACTCACACAGAGACCCATAGACTCACACAGAGACACATAGACTCTCACAGAGAGCCATATGCTCACACAGTGACCCATAGACTCACACAAAGACACATAGACTCACACAGAGACCCATAGACTCACACAGAGAACCATAGACTCACACAGAGACACATAGACTCACACAGAGACCCACAGACTCACACAGAGACACATAGACTAACACAGAGACCCATAGACTCACACAGAGACCCATAGACTCACACAGAGACACATAGACTCACACAGAGACCCATAGACTCACACAGAGACCCATAGACTCACACAGAGACACATAGACTCACACAGAGATCCATAAACTCACACAGAAATCCATAGACTCACACAGAGACACATAGACTCACACAGAGATCCATAGACTCGCACAGAGACACATAGACTCACACAGAGATCCATAGACTCACGCAGAGACCCACAGACTCACCACACAGAGACCCACAGACTCACACACAGAGACCCACAGACTCACACAGACCCACATACTCACACAGAGAGCCTTAGACTCACACAGTGACCCACAGACTCACAAAGAGACCCACATACTCACACAGAGAGCCTTAGACTCACACAGAGACACGTAGACTCACACAGAGACACGTAGACTCACACAGAGACCCATAGACTCACACAGAGATCCATAGACTCACACAGAGACCCATAGACTCACACAGAGATCCATAGACTCACACAGACACCCATAGACTCACACAGAGATCCACAGACTCACACAGAGACCCACAGACTCACACAGAGACCCACAGACTCACACAGAGACACGTAGACTCTCACAGAGAGCCTTAGGCTCAGAGAGAGCCATAGACTCACACAGAGACACGTAGACTCGCACAGAGGCACAGACTCACACAGAGATCCATAGACTCACACAGAGGTCATAGACTCACACAGAGATCCATAGACTCACACAGAGACCCATACACTCACACAGTGATCCACAGACTCACACAGAGACCCACAGACTCACACACAGAGGCCCATAGATCCAACATACGACCCGGTCTCCACATGTATAGCGTGCTGCTGTGTTCATAGGACGCAAACAAAAAAAAGTAGCACCCTCAAAAACCCCATTGCTGGATCCCCTCCTTCAGTCACGTGGCACACAGCACCCTCTGTCGCCCCACGTGTCAAAAAGGATGCGACCCCCCCCCCCCCCCACCGTCAAATAAGCGTGAAGAAATTCCAGCCAAATTCTGGCAGAAACCAGGGCCTTGAAGTCTCCCTCCCTCCTCTCCCTCCCTCCCTCCTCTCCCTACCCTCCCTCTCTCCTCTCCCTCCCCTCCCTCTCTCCTCTCCCTCCCCTCCCTCCCCTCTCTCCTCTCCCTCCCCTACCCCCCTCCTCTTCCTCCCTCCCCTCCCTCCCTCCTCTCCCTCCCCTCCCTCTCTCCTCTCCCTCCCTCCCCTCTCTCCTCTCCCTCCCCTCCCTCCCCACTCTCCTCTCCCTCCCCTCCCTCCCTCCTCTCCCTCCCTCCCCTCCCTCCCTCCTCTCCCTCCCCTCCCTCTCTCCTCTCCCTCCCCTCCCTCTCTCCTCTCCCTCCCTCCTCCTCTCCCTCCCCTCCCTCTCTCCTCTCCCTCCCCTCCCTCCCTCCTCTCCCTCCCTCCCCTCCCTCCTCTCCCTCCCCTCCCTCTCTCCTCTCCCTCCCCTCCCTCTCTCCTCTCCCTCCCTCTCTCCTCTCCCTCCCTCCCTCCTCTCCCTCCCCTCCCTCTCTCCTCTCCCTCCCCTCCCTCCCTCCTCTCCCTCCCCTCCCTCTCTCCTCTCCCTCCCCTCCCTCTCTCCTCTCCCTACCCTCTCTCTCTCCTCTCCCTACCTCTCTCTCTCTCCTCTCCCTACCCTCCCTCTCTCCTCTCCCTCCCCTCCCTCCCTCCTCTCCCTCCCCTCCCTCTCTCCTCTCCCTCCCCTCCCTCCCTCCTCTCCCTCCCTCCCCTCCCTCCTCTCCTCCCCTCCCTCTCTCCTCTCCCTCCCCTCCCTCTCTCCTCTCCCTCCCTCTCTCCTCTCCCTCCCTCCCTCCTCTCTCTCCCCTCCCTCTCTCCTCTCCCTCCCCTCCCTCCCTCCTCTCCCTCCCCTCCCTCTCTCCTCTCCCTCCCCTCCCTCTCTCCTCTCCCTACCCTCTCTCTCTCCTCTCCCTACCCTCTCTCTCCTCTCCCTACCCTCCCTCTCTCCTCTCCCTCCCCTCCCTCTCTCCTCTCCCTACCCTCTCTCTCTCCTCTCCCTACCCTCTCTCCTCCTCTCCCTACCCTCTCTCTCTCCTCTCCCTACCCTCCCTCTCTCCTCTCCCTACCCTCTCTCTCCTCTCCCTACCCTCCCTCCCTCCTCTCCCTCCCCTCCCTCTCTCCTCTCCCTCCCCTCCCTCTCTCCTCTCCCTCCCCTCCCTCCCTCCTCTCCCTCCCCTCCCTCTCTCCTCTCCCTCCCCTCCCTCTCTCCTCTCCCTACCCTCCCTCTCTCCCTACCCTCCCTCCCTCTCCCTACCCTCTCTCTCTCCTCTCCCTACCCTCTCTCTCCTCTCCCTCCCCTCCCTCTCTCCTCTCCCTACCGTCCCTCCCTCCTCTCCCTCCCCTCACTCTCTCCCTACCCTCCCTCTCTCCTCTCCCTACCCTCCCTCTCTCCTCTCCCTCCCTCCCCTCTCTCCTCTCTCCTCCCCTCCCTCCCCTCTCTCCTCTCCCTCCCCTCCCTCCCTCCTCTCCCTCCCTCCCCTCCCTCCCTCCTCTCCCTCCCCTCCCTCTCTCCTCTCCCTCCCCTCCCTCTCTCCTCTCCCTCCCTCCCTCCTCTCCCTCCCCTCCCTCTCTCCTCTCCCTCCCCTCCCTCCCTCCTCTCCCTCCCTCCCCTCCCTCCTCTCCCTCCCCTCCCTCTCTCCTCTCCCTCCCCTCCCTCTCTCCTCTCCCTCCCTCTCTCCTCTCCCTCCCTCCCTCCTCTCTCCCTCCCCTCCCTCTCTCCTCTCCCTCCCCTCCCTCCCTCCTCTCCCTCCCCTCCCTCTCTCCTCTCCCTCCCCTCCCTCTCTCCTCTCCCTACCCTCTCTCTCTCCTCTCCCTACCCTCTCTCTCCTCTCCCTACCCTCCCTCTCTCCTCTCCCTCCCCTCCCTCCCTCCTCTCCCTCCCCTCCCTCTCTCCTCTCCCTCCCTCCCTCTCTCCTCTCCCTACCCTCTCTCTCTCCTCTCCCTACCCTTTCTCTCCTCTCCCTACCCTCTCTCTCTCCTCTCCCTACCCTCCCTCTCTCCTCTCCCTACCCTCTCTCTCCTCTCCCTCCCCTCCCTCTCTCCTCTCCCTCCCCTCCCTCTCTCCTCTCCCTCCCCTCCCTCCCTCCTCTCCCTCCCCTCCCTCTCTCCTCTCCCTCCCCTCCCTCTCTCCTCTCCCTACCCTCCCTCTCTCCCTACCCTCCCTCCCTCTCCCTACCCTCTCTCTCTCCTCTCCCTACCCTCTCTCTCCTCTCCCTCCCCTCCCTCTCTCCTCTCCCTCCTCTCCCTCTCTCCTCTCCCTACCGTCCCTCCCTCCTCTCCCTCCCCTCACTCTCTCCCTACCCTCCCTCTCTCCTCTCCCTCCTCTCCCTCTCTCCTCTCCCTACCGTCCCTCCCTCCTCTCCCTCCCCTCACTCTCTCCCTACCCTCCCTCCCTCCTCTCCCTACCCTCCCTCTCTCCCTACCCTCCCTCCCTCCCTCTCCCCTGCTTCCACTCCCTACCACTCACTCGTTGTCCTCCTCTCTTCCATCGCGGCACAGCGGCGGCGGCGGCGACGACGGCGACGACGGCGACGACGGCGGCGATGGCGACGACGGCGATGACGCCGCCGCGGTGGGTTCCGGCGCTGCTCACGCTGCTCCTGGCGACGGCGAACCTCGCGACGGCAAAACCCACGGCGGACGAGAAGCCGCGGCACGCCGGGACCCGCGGCGGCGGCGGCGGCGTCGACGGTGCCCGCGACGACGCCCGGCCCTTCGGCTCCGACCACGACGCCATCCTGGGGTCGTACGCGGCGCGCGAGTTCCGCAGCCTGAGCCCGGAAGAGAGCAAGGAGCGGCTCGGGTAAGAGCGGATGGAAAGGGCCGCGCCGGTGGCTAGGGAGATGTCGACTACCTCGCCCGGTGTGCGGGAGGTCTGTGGGTTCCATCCCTGACCACTGACTCCTGATGCTGCTGCTGGATATTTGGAGTTTGTGGCTAGGGAGATGTCGACTACCTCGCCCGGTGTGCGGGAGGTCTGTGGGTTCGATCCCTGACCACTGACTCCTGATGCTGCTGCTGGATATTTGGAGTTTGCGGCTAGGGAGATGTCGACTACCTCGCCCGGTGTGCGGGAGGTCTGTGGGTTCGATCCCTGACCACTGACTCCTGATGCTGCTGCTGGATATTTGGAGTTTGTGGCTAGGGAGATGTCGACTACCTCGCCCGGTGTGCGGGAGGTCTGTGGGTTCGATCCCTGACCACTGACTCCTGATGCTGCTGCTGGATATTTGGAGTTTGTGGCTAGGGAGATGTCGACTACCTCGCCCGGTGTGCGGGAGGTCTGTGGGTTCCATCCCTGACCACTGACTCCTGATGCTGCTGCTGGATATTTGGAGTTTGTGGCTAGGGAGATGTCGACTACCTCGCCCGGTGTGCGGGAGGTCTGTGGGTTCGATCCCTGACCACTGACTCCTGATGCTGCTGCTGGATATTTGGAGTTTGTGGCTAGGGAGATGTCGACTACCTCGCCCGGTGTGCGGGAGGTCTGTGGGTTCGATCCCTGACCACTGACTCCTGATGCTGCTGCTGGATATTTGGAGTTTGTGGCTAGGGAGATGTCGACTACCTCGCCCGGTGTGCGGGAGGTCTGTGGGTTCGATCCCTGACCACTGACTCCTGATGCTGCTGCTGGATATTTGGAGTTTGTGGCTAGGGAGATGTCGACTACCTCGCCCGGTGTGCGGGAGGTCTGTGGGTTCGATCCCTGACCCTGATGACACCTCCTGTATATTTGGAGTTTGCATGTCGCGCTCATCACCGCGATGGGTAGGGGATGTTGACTACCTCGCCTGGTACACAGGAGGCCGTGAGTTCGATCGCGACCCTGACGATGCCCGCTGTTATTTGGAGTCTGCGCGTTTCTCCCTCCCTGTGTGGATTCTTCCCTCCGGGTCCTCCTCCGCCTTTTTTTCCCCCCCCTCCTCCACTTTTAGAATGAGCGTCCACGCGAATTTCCAGCGTTTGGCTGCCGCTGCAAATTTCCGCACGATCGCGACGACGGCGACGACGACGACGACGACGACGAAGCCACTCGGTTGACCTGCCCTCATTTGTGATGGCCGGGGGTCGCCTCTGAAAAAAGAGCTGGAAAGCTCGGTGGGAGCTTTCCCGCTCAAACTCAAAGTGAAACATAACCCGGTGGCTCTGCGAGCGTCGCAGCTACCGCGCTGCGCCACGAAGCTGGCCGCCCGAGTTGGATTCCTGCTCACGGCCACGAACGCCGGCGACGTTTTGATCTGAAGCGGGTCCTGGGCACACCGCCCCAGGTCGGCTCGGCCTCAAGTGCGGACCTGGTGTGGAAACGTCGCCGCTGGGGAGACAAAGGCGGCCGGGGCGTGGTGCTGGCCACTCACTCACTCACCCCCCCACGTCTGCCGCAGTGCCGCCCTTTCGTAGGTGCTGCTACTCGCAGTGCTTGCCCCGACAGCCTGTTGAGGCTACTCGGGGGATCTTTGCCCACGTCGTGCGCGAGGACCGCGGTGGTAAAAACTTTCCCGACGCCGTTGGAGCGGCTCTGTCTCACCGTGGTCGCGTGGATTTCTCTCCGTTTGCCTGCACCACCCTGGGCCGTGGCAAACGTAACACCCCGAGCGGACTGTTCACATTCATCTTTTTTAGTGTTCGTTTGGACTGGAGATGCAACGTGAGCATAAAAACAAGACGCAGTGATTCATATTCTTGGTTCTTTCGGTAAAGCCACGTTGAAGGGAAACAATAAAATGGCAAAAATATAAAACAATAAAATTCTCACGACGTTTCGACTGCAACATCATCAGGTGTGAAAAACCACAGCCACAAAATTTGAAAAAAGTGGCGCTTTTTTTTTTAACGTTAGCACCACGGAGAGCGATTTGACAGTTTGTTCAGGTGGACGAGTCCATCTATGTTCTTGATTCTTTCGGTAAAGTCACGTTGAAGGGAAACAATAAAATAATAAAGATATAAAACAATAAAATTCTCACGACGTTTCGACTGCAACCACAAGCAGTCATCATCAGGTGTGAAAACCAACAGCAAGAACATTTCAATGGGAACCGGTTCTTGCCGTTGGTTTTCACACCTGATGATGACTGCTTGTGGTTGCAGTCGAAACGTCGTGAGAATTTAATTGTTTTATATGTATTTTATTATTTTATTGTTGCCCTTCGTCGTGACTTTACCGAAAGAACCAAGAATATGAATCACTGCAGTCACGAAAGCTTTAAATCAAAATTTAAGACTCAGTAAATAAAACCACGCTGGCCAGGCGAGGCAGTTAACATCTCCTAGCCACCGCGGCGCCCAATACTTTAACTCGTCGCGGAACGATCACTAAACTGTAAGTGCTGAGCCCGTGCATAATGCCTGCCTCTGTCTGTCTCTCCGTCTCTGTCTCTCCGTCTCTGTCTGTCTCTGTCTGTCTCTGTGTCTGTCCGTGTCCTCTCTCTGCATTCCCGTCTGTCTCTCTCTGTCTGCCTCTGTCCGTCTCCGTCTCTGTCTGTCTCTGTCTCTCTCTGTCTGCCTCTGTCCGTCTCCGTCTCTGTCTGTCTCTGTCTGTCTCTGTCCGTGTCCTTCTCTCTTTGGATTCCCGTCTGTCTCTCTCTGTCTGCCTCTGTCCGTCTCTCCGTCTCTGTCTGTCTCTGTCTGTCTCTCTGTCTCTCTCTGTCTCTGTCCGTGTCCTTCTCTCTCTGTGTTCCCGTCTGTCTCTCTCTGTCTGCCTCTGTCTGTCTCTCCGTCTCTGTCTGTCTCTGTCTGTCTCTCTGTCTCTGTCTGTCTCTGTCTCTGTCCGTGTCCTTCTCTCTCTGCGTTCCCGTCTGTCTCTCTCTGTCCGCCTCTGTCCGTCTCTGTCTCTGTCTGTCTCTGTCTCTCTCTGTCTGCCTCTGTCCGTCCCTCCGTCTCTGTCTGTCTCTGTCTGTGTCCGTGTCCTTCTCTCTCTGCGTTCCCGTCTGTCTCTCTCTGTCTGCCTCTGTCCGTCTCTCCGTCCCTGTCTGTCTCTCCGCCTCTGTCTGTCTCTCCGTCTCTGACTGTGTCTGTCCGTGTCCATCTCCGTCTCTGTCTGTCTCTGTCTCTCTCTGTCTGCCTCTGTCCGTCTCTCCGTCCCTGTCTGTCTCTCCGCCTCTGTCTGTCTCTCCGTCTCTGTCTGTGTCTGTCCGTGTCCTTCTCTCTCTGCGTTCCCGTCTGTCTCTCTCTGTCTGCCTCTGTCCGTCTCTCCGTCCCTGTCTGTCTCTCCGTCTCTGTCTGTCTCTGTCTCTCTCTGTCTGCCTCTGTCCGTCTCTCCGTCCCTGTCTGTCTCTGTCTGTCTCTCTGTCTCTGTCTCTCTCTGTCTGCCTCTGTCTGTCTCTCCGTCCCTGTCTGTCTCTCCGCCTCTGTCTGCCTCTCTCCGTCTCTGTCTGTGTCTGTCCGTGTCCTTCTCTCTCTGTGTTCCCGTCTGTCTCTCTCTGTCTGCCTCTGTCCGTCTCTCCGTCCCTGTCCGTCTCTCCGTCTCTGTCTGTCTCTGTCTCTCTCTGTCTGCCTCTGTCCGTCTCTCTGTCCCTGTCTGTCTCTCTCTGTCTGCCTCTGTCCGTCTCTCCGTCCCTGTCTGCCTCTGTCCGTCTCTCCGTCCCTGTCTGTCTCTGTCTCTCTCTGTCTCTCTCTGTCTCTCTCTGTCTGCCTCTGTCCGTCTCTCTCCGTCTCCATCTCCGCTCCGTCCGTTGCGCGCTGTCGCCGTCGCCGTCGCCGTCGCGCAGCAAAATCGTGGACCGCATGGACGTGGACGGCGACGGGCTGGTGGGCCAGGAGGAGCTGGCTGCGTGGATTCGCCAGACGCAGCGGCGCTGGCTGCGCGAGGACGTGGAGCAGCGCTGGAGGGACCCCAACGGCGACGGGCGACTCTCCTGGGACGAGTACCGGAACGCCACCTACGGCGGACTCTCTTGTACGCCTCACGGACGACGATGAGTCCACCTCACCCTCACCTCTTGTGTGTCTGCCTCTCCCGCCGTGGCTAGGGGTCGTTGACTACCTCGCCCGGTATGCGGGAGGTCCGTGGGTTCTAATCCCGACCCTGACAGCATGCTGTGTATTTGTAGATTGCGTGTCTCACTCTCATCATCTTCATCATCATCACGGTGGCTAGGAAGATGTTAACGACCTCGCCCGGTATGCGGGAGGTCCGTGGGTTCTAATCCCGACCCTGACAGCATGCTGTGTATTTGTAGATTGCGTGTTTCACTCTCATCTTCATCATCACGGTGGCTAGGAAGATGTTAACGACCTCGCCTGGGATGCAGGAGGTCGTGGGTTCTAATCCCGACCGTGACAGCCTGCTGTGTATTTGTAGATTGCGTGTTTCACTTTCATCATCTTCATCATCACGGTGGCTAGGAATATGTTAACGACCTCGCCAGGTATACGGGAGGTCGTGGGTTCTAATCCCGACTCTGACAGCATGCTGTGTATTTAGAGTGCGTGTTTCACTCTCATCATCTTCATCATCACGGTGGTTAGGAAGATGTTAACGACCTCGCCAGGTATACAGGAGGTCCTGGATTCTAATCCCGACCGTGACAGCCTGCTGTGTATTTGTAGATTGCGTGTCTCACTCTCTCATCTTCATCATCATCACGGTGGCTAGGAAGATGTTAACGTGTGCATGCTGCGCCCGTGCCGTCTGTGTGTGTGTCCTGCGTGCCGCGCGTACACCACCCGTGCCACCCGTGCCACCCGTGCCACCCGTGCCACCCGTGCCACCCGTGCCCCGTCCCAGTCGAGACGGCCGACGCCTACTCCAGGCTCCTGGCGAGGGACAAGCGGCGCTTCGACGCGGCCGCCGGCGGGGTGAGCGGCGGCGCCGCCGCGGGGGGCGTTGAGCTCAGCCGCGGGGAGTTCGCCGCCTTCCTCCACCCCTCCTCCTTCGGGCACATGAGCGACATCGTCGTCACCGTGAGTCGCCCTCCGTCGTTCCATCGCTCCATCCATCGTTCCATCGCTCGTCCGATCGCTCGCTCGCTCGGTCCACCGCACGTCCGTTGGCGCGAGTCCGGGGAGGGTAACGCACAAAGCGCGTCTTCATATTATCTGGTGAAGGTGGCAACGGAGCAAACCGAGTGGAACGATCGGAGACCATCGTGAGTTTATTTCAGATCGAGTTTCAAATTCCTGCGGGTCGCCCCGTTGCGGATTTGTCGTTCATCCAGCAGCGGATTGATCCTCATCGACGACGATGACGACGGCGACGATGATGACGATGGCGGTGAATGTGATTGCAGGAGACGATCGAGGACGTGGATAAGGATGGAGACGGAGTCATTGATCTGGAGGAATACATCGGTGAGCGACCTCACGTCCTTCTGCCGGACTTGCACCGTCATCGCCTCGCACATCCCTGCAGGAACCCTTACCATCATCTGCGCAACATTCCCGCAGATGGTGGTGTAGGTGGTGGTGGTGGTGACTGTATGAGTGGCCCTTGAAGATGGTGGTGTAGGTGGTGGTGGTGGTGGTGACTAGGAGTGGCACTTGAAGATGGTGGTGTAGGTGGTGGTGGTGGTGACTGTAGGAGTGGCCCTTGAAGATGGTGGTGTAGGTGGTGGTGGTGACTGTAGGAGTGGCCCTTGAAGATGGTGGTGTAGGTGGTGGTGGTGAGACTGTAGGAGTGGCCCTTGAAGATGGTGGTGTAGGTGGTGGTGGTGGTGACTGTAGGAGTGGCCCTTGAAGATGGTGGTGTAGGTGGTGGTGGTGAGACTGTAGGAGTGGCCCTTGAAGATGGTGGTGTAGGTGGTGGTGGTGGTGACTGTAGGAGTGGCCCTTGAAGATGGTGGTGTAGGTGGTGGTGGTGATTGTAGGAGTAGCCCTTGAAGATGGTGGTGTAGGTGGTGGTGGTGGTGAGACTCTAGGAGTGGCCCTTGAAGATGGTGGTGTAGGTGGTGGTGGTGACTGTAGGAGTGGCCCTTGAAGATGGTGGTGTAGGTGGTGGTGGTGAGACTGTAGGAGTGGCCCTTGAAGATGGTGGTGTAGGTGGTGGTGGTGGTGGTGACTGTAGGAGTGGCCCTTGAAGATGGTGGTGTAGGTGGTGGTGGTGAGACTGTAGGAGTGGCCCTTGAAGATGGTGGTGTAGGTGGTGGTGGTGGTGACTGTAGGAGTGGCCCTTGAATATGGTGGTGTAGGTGGTGGTGGTGACTGTAGGAGTGGCACTTGAAGATGGTGGTGTAGGTGGTGGTGGTGGTGGTGAGGACGTAGGAGTGGCCCCTGAAGATGGTGGTGTAGGTGGTGGTGGTGAGACTGTAGGAGTGGCACTTGAAGATGGTGGTGTAGGTGGTGGTGAGACTGTAGGAGTGGCCCTTGAAGATGGTGGTGTAGGTGGTGGTGGTGAGACTGTAGGAGTGGCCCCTGAAGATGGTGGTGTAGGTGGTGGTGGTGACTGTAGGAGTGGCACTTGAAGATGGTGGTGTAGGTGGTGGTGAGACTGTAGGAGTGGCCCTTGAAGATGGTGGTGTAGGTGGTGGTGGTGAGACTGTAGGAGTGGCCCTTGAAGATGGTGGTGTAGGTGGTGGTGGTGACTGTAGCAGTGGCACTTGAAGATGGTGGTGTAGGTGGTGGTGGTGAGACTGTAGGAGTGGCCCTTGAAGATGGTGGTGTAGGTGGTGGTGGTGAGACTGTAGGAGTGGCCCTTGAAGATGGTGGTTTAGGTGGTGGTGGTGGTGACTGTAGGAGTGGCACTTGAAGATGGTGGTGTAGGTGGTGGTGGTGAGACTGTAGGAGTGGCCCTTGAAGATGGTGGTTTAGGTGGTGGTGGTGGTGGTGGTGACTGTAGGAGTGGCCCTTGAAGATGGTGGTATAGGTGGTGGTGGTGGTGACTGTAGGAGTGGCCCTTGAAGATGGTGGTGTAGGTGGTGGTGGTGACTGTAGAAGTGGCCCTTGAAGATGGTGGTGTAGGTGGTGGTGGTGGTGGTGACTGTAGGAGTGGCACTTGAAGATGGTGGTGTAGGTGGTGGTGGTGGTGACTGTAGGAGTGGCCCTTGAAGATGGTGGTGTAGGTGGTGGTGGGGAGACTGTAGGAGTGGCACTTGAAGATGGTGGTGTAGGTGGTGGTGGTGGTGGTGAGACTCTAGGAGTGGCCCTTGAAGATGGTGGTGTAGGTGGTGGTGGTGACTGTAGGAGTGGCCCTTGAAGATGGTGGTGTAGGTGGTGGTGGTGAGACTGTAGGAGTGGCCCTTGAAGATGGTGGTGTAGGTGGTGGTGGTGGTGACTGTAGGAGTGGCCCTTGAAGATGGTGGTGTAGGTGGTGGTGGTGAGACTGTAGGAGTGGCCCTTGAAGATGGTGGTGTAGGTGGTGGTGGTGGTGACTGTAGGAGTGGCCCTTGAATATGGTGGTGTAGGTGGTGGTGGTGACTGTAGGAGTGGCACTTGAAGATGGTGGTGTAGGTGGTGGTGGTTGGTGGTGGTGAGGACGTAGGAGTGGCCCCTGAAGATGGTGGTGTAGGTGGTGGTGGTGAGACTGTAGGAGTGGCACTTGAAGATGGTGGTGTAGGTGGTGGTGAGACTGTAGGAGTGGCCCTTGAAGATGGTGGTGTAGGTGGTGGTGGTGAGACTGTAGGAGTGGCCCCTGAAGATGGTGGTGTAGGTGGTGGTGGTGACTGTAGGAGTGGCACTTGAAGATGGTGGTGTAGGTGGTGGTGAGACTGTAGGAGTGGCCCTTGAAGATGGTGGTGTAGGTGGTGGTGGTGAGACTGTAGGAGTGGCCCTTGAAGATGGTGGTGTAGGTGGTGGTGGTGACTGTAGGAGTGGCACTTGAAGATGGTGGTGTAGGTGGTGGTGGTGAGACTGTAGGAGTGGCCCTTGAAGATGGTGGTGTAGGTGGTGGTGGTGAGACTGTAGGAGTGGCCCTTGAAGATGGTGGTTTAGGTGGTGGTGGTGACTGTAGGAGTGGCACTTGAAGATGGTGGTGTAGGTGGTGGTGGTGAGACTGTAGGAGTGGCCCTTGAAGATGGTGGTTTAGGTGGTGGTGGTGGTGGTGACTGTAGGAGTGGCCCTTGAAGATGGTGGTGTAGGTGGTGGTGGTGGTGGTGACTGTAGGAGTGGCCCTTGAAGATGGTGGTGTAGGTGGTGGTGGTGACTGTAGAAGTGGCCCTTGAAGATGGTGGTGTAGGTGGTGGTGGTGGTGGTGACTGTAGGAGTGGCACTTGAAGATGGTGGTGTAGGTGGTGGTGGTGGTGACTGTAGGAGTGGCCCTTGAAGATGGTGGTGTAGGTGGTGGTGGTGATTGTAGGAGTAGCCCTTGAAGATGGTGGTGTAGGTGGTGGTGGTGGTGAGACTCTAGGAGTGGCCCTTGAAGATGGTGGTGTAGGTGGTGGTGGTGACTGTAGGAGTGGCCCTTGAAGATGGTGGTGTAGGTGGTGGTGGTGAGACTGTAGGAGTGGCCCTTGAAGATGGTGGTGTAGGTGGTGGTGGTGGTGGTGACTGTAGGAGTGGCCCTTGAAGATGGTGGTGTAGGTGGTGGTGGTGAGACTGTAGGAGTGGCCCTTGAAGATGGTGGTGTAGGTGGTGGTGGTGGTGACTGTAGGAGTGGCCCTTGAATATGGTGGTGTAGGTGGTGGTGGTGACTGTAGGAGTGGCACTTGAAGATGGTGGTGTAGGTGGTGGTGGTGGTGGTGAGGACGTAGGAGTGGCCCTGAAGATGGTGGTGTAGGTGGTGGTGGTGAGACTGTAGGAGTGGCACTTGAAGATGGTGGTGTAGGTGGTGGTGAGACTGTAGGAGTGGCCCTTGAAGATGGTGGTGTAGGTGGTGGTGGTGAGACTGTAGGAGTGGCCCCTGAAGATGGTGGTGTAGGTGGTGGTGGTGACTGTAGGAGTGGCACTTGAAGATGGTGGTGTAGGTGGTGGTGAGACTGTAAGAGTGGCCCTTGAAGATGGTGGTGTAGGTGGTGGTGGTGAGACTGTAGGAGTGGCCCTTGAAGATGGTGGTGTAGGTGGTGGTGGTGACTGTAGGAGTGGCACTTGAAGATGGTGGTGTAGGTGGTGGTGGTGAGACTGTAGGAGTGGCCCTTGAAGATGGTGGTGTAGGTGGTGGTGGTGAGACTGTAGGAGTGGCCCTTGAAGATGGTGGTTTAGGTGGTGGTGGTGGTGACTGTAGGAGTGGCACTTGAAGATGGTGGTGTAGGTGATGGTGGTGAGACTGTAGGAGTGGCCCTTGAAGATGGTGGTTTAGGTGGTGGTGGTGACTGTAGGAGTGGCCCTTGAAGATGGTGGTGTAAGTGGTGGTGGTGAGGACTGTAGGAGTGGCCCTTGAAGATGGTGGTGTAGGTGGTGGTGGTGACTGTAGGAGTGGCACTTGAAGATGGTGGTGTAGGTGGTGGTGGTGAGACTGTAGGAGTGGCCCTTGAAGATGGTGGTGTAGGTGGTGGTGGTGAGACTGTAGGAGTGGCCCTTGAAGATGGTGGTGTAGGTGGTGGTGGTGAGACTGTAGGAGTGGCCCTTGAAGATGGTGGTGTAGGTGGTGGTGGTGGTGACTGTAGGAGTGGCCCTTGAATATGGTGGTGTAGGTGGTGGTGGTGACTGTAGGAGTGGCACTTGAAGATGGTGGTGTAGGTGGTGGTGGTGGTGGTGAGGACGTAGGAGTGGCCCCTGAAGATGGTGGTGTAGGTGGTGGTGGTGAGACTGTAGGAGTGGCACTTGAAGATGGTGGTGTAGGTGGTGGTGAGACTGTAGGAGTGGCCCTTGAAGATGGTGGTGTAGGTGGTGGTGGTGAGACTGTAGGAGTGGCCCCTGAAGATGGTGGTGTAGGTGGGGGTGGTGACTGTAGGAGTGGCACTTGAAGATGGTGGTGTAGGTGGTGGTGAGACTGTAAGAGTGGCCCTTGAAGATGGTGGTGTAGGTGGTGGTGGTGAGACTGTAGGAGTGGCCCTTGAAGATGGTGGTGTAGGTGGTGGTGGTGACTGTAGGAGTGGCACTTGAAGATGGTGGTGTAGGTGGTGGTGGTGAGACTGTAGGAGTGGCCCTTGAAGATGGTGGTGTAGGTGGTGGTGGTGAGGACTGTAGGAGTGGCCCTTGAAGATGGTGGTTTAGGTGGTGGTGGTGGTGACTGTAGGAGTGGCACTTGAAGATGGTGGTGTAGGTGATGGTGGTGAGACTGTAGGAGTGGCCCTTGAAGATGGTGGTTTAGGTGGTGGTGGTGACTGTAGGAGTGGCCCTTGAAGATGGTGGTGTAAGTGGTGGTGGTGAGGACTGTAGGAGTGGCCCTTGAAGATGGTGGTGTAGGTGGTGGTGGTGACTGTAGGAGTGGCACTTGAAGATGGTGGTGTAGGTGGTGGTGGTGAGACTGTAGGAGTGGCCCTTGAAGATGGTGGTGTAGGTGGTGGTGGTGAGACTGTAGGAGTGGCCCTTGAAGATGGTGGTTTAGGTGGTGGTGGTGGTGACTGTAGGAGTGGCACTTGAAGATGGTGGTGTAGGTGATGGTGGTGAGACTGCAGGAGTGGCCCTTGAAGATGGTGGTTTAGGTGGTGGTGGTGACTGTAGGAGTGGCCCTTGAAGATGGTGGTGTAAGTGGTGGTGGTGAGGACTGTAGGAGTGGCCCTTGAAGATGGTGGTGTAGGTGGTGGTGGTGACTGTAGGAGTAGCCCTTGAAGATGGTGGTGTAGGTGGTGGTGGTGACTGTAGGAGTGGCCCTTGAAGATGGTGGTGTAGGTGGTGGTGAGACTGTAGGAGTGGCACTTGAAGATGGTGGTGTAGGTGGTGGTGGTGACTGTAGGAGTGGCCCTTGAAGATGGTGGTGTAGGTGGTGGTGAGACTGTAGGAGTGGCACTTGAAGATGGTGGTGTAGGTGGTGGTGGTGACTGTAGAAGTGGCCCTTGAAGAGGGTGGTGTAGGTGTTCGTAGTGGTGGTGAGACTGTAGGAGTGGCCCTTGAAGATGGTGGTGTAGGTGGTGGTGGTGACTGTAGGAGTGGCCCTTGAATATGGTGGTGTAGGTGGTGGTGGTGAGGACTGTAGGAGTCGCACTTGAAGATGGTGGTGAGACTGTAGGAGTGGCCATTGAAGAGGGTGGTGTAGGTGGTGGTGGTGGTGACTGTAGGAGTGGCACATGAAGATGGTGGTGTAGGTGGTGGTGGTGGTGACTGTAGGAGTGGCCATTGAAGATGGTGGTGTAGGTGGTGGTGGTGGTGAGGACTGTAGGAGTGGCACTTGAAGATGGTGGTGTAGGTGGTGGTGGTGAGACTGTAGGAGTGGCCCCTGAAGATGGTGGTGTAGGTGGTTCATATCGTGTAAGCACAGGGTGCTCCTAAAAAAAATGTTAACCCTTCGGAGAATTCGCAACAACACCACGGGAAATGAACAAGCGGAGACCCTTTGACTTTTTGAAGCTATTAACATTACATTCGTTACCATGTTCGAGTATGTTGCCCGTTATTTTTCCATGTAAGCGTTCACGTTCTTTCGAAAGCCCCCTCGTGAGTTGACGGGAAGCCCTCCAGTGGATGATCTTTGGTCGCGAAATCCCACGGGTGTCCAAATGCCACTCCGACCCCCGACCGCCCGCCCAGCCGACATGTACCACCCGGCGGGGCCCGCGGAGACCACGGAGCCCGAGTGGGTGGAGACGGAGCGGCAGCAGTTCCGGCGGTTCCGCGACTCTGACGGCGACGGGCGGATGGGACGCGAGGAGGTGCGGGCCTGGCTGCTGCCCGTCGGTTACGAGCACGCCCTCGCAGAGGCACGCCACCTCGTCGGGGAGGCCGACGACGGGGACGAGGTGGTGACCCACGCCCCCCCACCCACCCCACCCACCCCACCCACCCCACCCACCCCACCCACCCCCCCCACCCCACCCACCCCCCACACCACCCCCACCTTAATCCGATGAGCTATAAAGTCGGGTAGGGAGAAAAAAATAAACGATCACGGCGTTTGGATCGCAACGCGAGCAACCGTCATCGCCTGGTGACGTCATCGCCTGGTGACGTCATCACCTGGCGACGTCATCGCCTGGTAACGTCATCATCGCCTGACGACGTCATCGCCTGACGACGTCATCGCCTGACGACGTCATCGCCTGGCGACGTCATCGCCTGGCGACGTCATCGCCTGGCGACGTCATCGCCTGGCGACGTCATCGCCTGGCGACGTCATCATCTGACGACGTCATCACCTGGCGACATCACCTGGCGACGTCATCACCTGATGACCGGTTGCTTGCGGTGCGATCGAAACGCCGTGATGACGTCATCACCTGGTGATGACATCGCCGGATGACGTAATCACCTGGCGACGTCATCACCTGGTTACGTCATCGCCTGACGACGTCATCACCTGACGACGTCATCACCTGACGACGTCATCGCCTGGCGACGTCATCACCTGACGACGTCATCGCCTGGTTACGTCATCGCCTGACGACGTCATCACCTGGCGACGTCATCACCTGACGACGTCATCGCCTGGCGACGTCATCACCTGACGACGTCATCGCCTGGTTACGTCATCACCTGGCGACGTCATCACCCGACGACCGGTTGCTTGCGTTGCGATCGAAACGCAGTGATCTTTAGTTTTATTCCCCACCACCCGACTTTACCGAAAGAACCACGAAGCGCGTGGATTGCTGCCGTCACTTCGGCTCAGTACTCAACGCCGTTCCTTGTCGTTCCTTGTCGTTGCTTGTGGTCTGTCGCGCTGCAAAGGACGGCAAGCTGTCCAAGGAAGAGATCCTGGCGAAGTGGAGCGTGTTCGTGGGCAGTCAAGCCACCAACTACGGCGACGATCTCAACCGCCGGCACGAGGAGCTCTGAGCTTCGGCCGTACGGCCCGGCGCTTACAACCGAGGAAAGCGTTCCGATTGGCTGTGTCGAATCGGAATGCGCCGCGCTGCGCTCCGATTGGCCGTTGGCGTCGCGTCGAAACCAAACGCGCCTCGTCGCGTTCCGATTGGCCGACGTGTGCCCGGTTAGCTTGCTCGCGATTCACCGGCTCGGGCCTGCCGAGTGATCGATTTCCCTCTTTTTTTTTAAACGAGCATCGGGACGGCATTCACCTCCCTGCTGAGCCAGCGGTTGGAAGTTCCACACTCCCATGGCGGGAGGGGAGGTTTGGGCCATCCCCGGGCCCATCGGACAACCACTTTTGACTTCCGTACAAAGCGGTACTCAATTTTATTGACACGACCCCGGAAGGGAGGCACGATGTTGATGATTGTGGGCCTCAATCCACCGCGGGCAGGATTTGAACTCGTGGACCTTGAGACTCGAGAGAAACCGCAAGCGTTGCCATGCAATGGTTACGGGGTGTAAATGTTCATGTTATAAAAAAAAAAACAAAAAAATGAGAATCGTTTTTTTTGTCGACTCGAAGGAATCCGATGAGCCGCGAAGCTCTTTTTCCCGTCACCTGCATGGGCCGTTCCGTTGTCTTCGTGCGTGCGTGTTGGGGAACGTCTTTCGCGCCGTACGTAGCAAAAGCGTGATGACCGGATTTGCGGCGGTACAACAGCAAACGCGAGTGTATGCAACAATACGGGAGGCTGTGCAAAGATGCTCAAGCGCCAAATCGTCGCCCGCCTGTTACCACGAGCCACCATCGGGTCTGCGTCAACCGCGCATCCGTGTGTCGTGGCGAAACTCGCGAGCCGAACGCCCTTTGTGTAACTGCGCGTACACGCAGTGGCCCTCTCGAGGCTCGGTTGGCCCTGCAGCCTCCTCCAAGGCCGGGCCCCTCAGCGGCTGTTCCCCCCCTGCCTGCTGTTGTGCTCCGCTCGGAACAGCGGCAGGCGGCGGCGAGACGGCGCCCGTGGAAGCGGCGGGGGGAGGCTTCGGCCTTCGGTTGGTGCGGGAGGGAGGGCCCAATCGGTTTCCAGGACAACGCTTGCACATCGTCGTTAATGTCAAAGCGGTGTTTGCCTTTGCACGTGTTTTTTTGTTGTTGTTGCCGGTGATGCGTTGCGACGAGGCGCGCCCTCTGCAGGTCGAAGCTCGGATTGCCCGCGTGCGGGTTCATCCGATTTGCGGATGAACTGCTTGAGATTTTGGCATGAATTAACAAGCCGTGGGCTTTTCCCTTAAGCGCAGAGCGAATCATCTTTAAAAAAACAGCGTTGCGTTGTTATTCTTGGAAAATGTTTATTGCAAGTCGCGTGCTTAAACCGAACAAATGCTCCGGTTAATCCGAAGTCAAACGTGATCGCCTCTACACTACAGTAGTTGCAACATCTTTACACACAGTGGGCGCGGAGTTTGATGTCTGATTGGCTGTGGATCTTGCTGCTGTCATAATCCACTCAGTGCGGCCGGAGTCTTCTGCTAGGCGGGAGCCAGGAAAGTCGTATTATTATTATCACTGAGCACGCTGATCATCATCATCAATCGATCAATCAATCGGTCGACGATCGTCTCGTATTCGTTCTGAATCGAAAGAGCAACAATCAAGATCGTCGGCTGTGCTTCACTTTGAGCGATCCCTCCGATCGTTTTATTTCGTGCGAGTTTTAATTTGACGAAACTGTGCGATGACGGAGAATAGGGTCGTCGTTGGCGTAACCTTGAAGCAGAAACTGCATGCTCTGCGCACCTCTTCAAGTGAGCGAGTGCGTCGGCGTGGACTTTTGTAATGAAACAGGATCAACGCATTGTTCACGACACATCTTTGTCCTGTTGGGGTTAACAAGCTCGATTTCCTTCGCTTAAACATTATTTTGATGCCCAACGTTCGTGGTTTTTGGCACGGAGACCCGTGGAAAAATTCTTCTATTTCTGGATTATCTGCAATTTTTAAATTACCCGCGGCCCTCCTTCCACCGTTGTTAGCGCGGAAAATCCAGAGTTCTCCTGCCGTTTGGTGTTTAAACATCTTAACAGCGCTCCTGCATTGTTGCCTAGAAGGTTAAAGCCTCATCATCATCATCTCGATAGCGGCAACGTGGGTCCCCGTAGATTACATCATTAGACCTCCTTTGCCAGTGCCAAAATGTAATAATAGGGTGTTTGTGTGGTTAATGCAGACGTGAATCCTCGTAAAAAGGTTGCAGTTTTGTTGCCAGAAAAAAGGGGGAAAGCCCCTCTTATCCCCCGTCGATTGTTGATTTCTGAAACGACGTTTCGTTTTTTGCAACAACTTTATTTTTTATTTTTATATTCTTCCCCCGACTGTTGGGGGGAGCCGCGGTTTCGATGGCGGTCTGCGGGTTGTCTTGTTGCTGACCCGCCGAAAGTCGCTTTAACATTGTAAACGTTTAATTTTTGTTTTGGGCCTAGGGGAAATGCTCACGCGCTCGCTCGCACGAGACGCTCAAGAAGATCCCCCCCCCCCCCCTCCCTTGTAGCCTGTAACGGAGGGTCGGGGCCAGTGCCGATTGTCCGTAGCGAGTAGCAGCAGCAGCAGTAGCAGCAGCGCCTATGAAGGCTACCGGCACTGCGGCACACGAGGGGGTGGGCGGGCCAGCAAACGCGCCCGGCCGCCTTTGTCTCCCCCCCCCGTGGCGATGTTGACGCACCGCACCAGGCACTCATTTGCGGCCGAGTCGATCTAGGAGAGGCCCAGCACCTGGCTCGGGATATAACCGTCACCGGCGTCGGACGTGAACGGGAGTCGAACTCTGGCGGCCGGGCTCGTAGTACAGCGAGCTAACCTCCTAAACTTCCGCTTCAGCAGCAGCCGCCGTCCGCCGCAAAGTGGCGGTGCCGTCACCACGACGCCCGTGCCAGGCTAGGTGCACGTCGAGGCCACGCGAAGTGTCGAGCGCCCGCCGGCAGGAGGTCACGGGGCAGACCCAGCAGGTGCCACGGGTCGGCTGACTGAGACGACTGAGATGATGCACCACCTGTGCCCCCCTACTGTGACAACTTGCTGCGCTTTAGCCACCAACTACCGCTTCCCACACACACACACACACGTAGACTCGAGTTATATTTACATGCAAGAATATTGCCACGTGTTTGTGTTTTTTTTTAATGTCTAAATGTCTCCCAATGTTGTGTGTTCGGGTTGTTACCTGCTGTGCGGTTGTTCAGCACGATGACCTCCGGGAAATGAATTTCCCCACTGAACAACAACAACAACAACCACCGCCGGTCACCGCTTAAGTAGGTGGCGGTGACGTCGGCGCGGCGCTTGTGCCAGGCTAGGTGCACTTTGAGGCGTCAAACAATGCACAGCGGCGAAATTCGAGAATTGTTGCAGAGTTCTGCAGCACGACTGAAATAAACCCATCCAGTGTTATGGTTTGTTGTTCATGTTTTTTAAAGGACTTTGTGGTTGAATTAAAATGTTGATGATATTCCTGATCGTGCCGATGTGTGTGAATGCGTTTCAAATCTGAACCGTCGTCGTTCCGAATGTTATTTTTTTTTATTTTACCTGGGAAGGGCCCCGCTGAGTTACTGCTTAGCTCTTTGTCAGAAGCGACACTGGCCATCACAAACGATAACAGCTCAACGAAGTTGGCTCATCGTCGTCATCATCGTCATGATCATCGTCATGATCATGATAATTGTCATCGTCATTATGATAATCATTGTCATCATCATCAATTGGACATTCATCGCAGCAGCCAAAAACTCTTGAAACGCGTTGATCCCTTGGCTTCTCAGTCCGCTTGAGCAGGGCGAGGATCGCGTCGCCAGCGTGTCAGCCTGTTACCTGTATAAAAGACACCTGTCCACAGAAGCAATCAATCAGATTCAAAACTCTCCACCATGGCCAAGACCAAAGAGCTCTCCAAGGATGTCAGGGACAAGTTTGTAGACCTACACAAGGTTGGAATGGGCTACAAGACCATTGCCAAGCAGCTTGGTGAGAAGGTGACAACAGTTGGTGCGATTATTCGCAAATGGAAGAAACACAAAATAACTGTCAATCTCCCTCGGTCTGGGGCTCAATGCAAGATCTCACCTCGTGGCGTTGCAATGATCATGAGAACGGTGAGGAATCGGCCCAGAACTACACGGGAGGATCTTGTCAATGATCTCAAGGCAGCTGGGACCATAGTCACCAAGAAAACAATTGGTAACACACTACGCCGTGAAAGACTGAAATCCTGCAGCGCCCGCAAGGTCCCCCTGCTCAAGAAAGCACGTAAACATGCCCGTCTGAAGTTTGCCAATGAACATCTGAATGATTCAGAGGACAACTGGGTGAAAGTGTTGTGGTCAGATGAGACCAAAATAGAGCTCTTTGGGGGTGTTTTTCTGCTAAGGGGACATGACAACTTCACCGCATCAAAGGGACGATGGACGGGGCCATATACCGTCAAATCTTGGGTGAGAACCTCCTTCCCTAAGCCAGGGCATTGAAAATGGGTCGTGGATGGGTATTCCAGCATGACAATGACCCAAAACACACGGCCAAGGCAACAAAGGAGTGGCTCAAGAAGAAGCACATTAAGGTCCTGGAGTGGCCTAGCCAGTTTCCAGACCTTAATCCCAAAGAAAATCTGTGGAGGGAGCTGAAGGTTCGAGTTGCCAAACGTCAGCCTCGAAACCTTAATGACTTGGAGAAGATCTGCAAAGAGGAGTGGGACAAAATCCCTCCTGAGATGTGTGCAAACCTGGTGGCCAACTACAATAAACGTCTGACCTCTGCCACCAAGTACTAAGTCATGTTTTGCAGAGGGGTCAAATACTTATTTCCCTCATTAAAATGCAAATCAATGAATAACATTTTTGACATGCGTTTTTCGGGATGTTTTTTTTGTTATTCTGTCTCTCACTGTTCAAATAAACCTACCATTAAAATTATAGACTGATCATTTCTTTGTCATTGGGCAAACGTACAAAATCAGCAGGGGATCAGATACTTGTTTCCCTCACTGTATTGTAGTTATTGTAATCGTTCATTCGCTATCTAGCCAGGTAATACGACAAATCGCTAATCCTGCAACACCCGGTCGTTCAAGGCGGTCTAGTACTATAGTAATAGAGCAAGTGCAGGATCACTGAACCCGCATTGATGGCTTGAAAGCGTTTAGCGCGGGGCCCTTGAAAGTGCGGGGCCCATAACATTTGTAGCTCCTGTTAACCACTAGGATCATCCGCCGCCCCCCCCCCCCTATATTATACATGTATTTACCACTCGCTTCTTGTCGTTGCGTTGAGCCTCATGCCCTCATCCTCCTCCACGTGGTTGCGACAGGAGTTGGACGATGCGGTCAAGACGACGGCATGAAGGGGGGGGTCGACGGGGACGCGAGCGACTGAGCGCCAGGCACCCGACGCGGCACCCCGCGGCTAAGCGGCGTGCTCGCTCCTGCTCGAACAGTCTCCTTTGTTCGGTCCTCGGCGTTAGGGTTTGTTTTAAAGAGAAGAGAACGCAAGGGGGTTGGCGGTGGGGAGGTAACGCACGGACGGCACCCACGCCTGAGACCTCAGAGGAGGAGTTGGAGGCGCTGCTGCTGCTGCTGAACCTGGAGCGTGCCACTAAGAGGTGGGCCCTTGCCATCAGCACCCACCAAAACTAAGCACCTGCCTGGGTAATTTTGTACCATCGGACACTCCACCCCAACAACTCCCAATCGGTGATGGGGCAGTTGTGGAGAGAGTGGAGAGTTTCCCATACCTGGGCAGTGTGCTTATGATTGGCTCCAGTTTAACAGCAGAGGTCTCACTCCGAATCAGTCGAGCGGCAATATCTTTTCATCGGTTGCGTAACGCTGTGTGGAAGCTACCTGGTCTGTCGCTCCGCACGAAGCTTCAGGTCTTCTCGGCCACAGTCATTCCCTCCCTTCTCTACTCTTGCGAAACGTGGACCCCCTTAAATGGAGCATTTTCGCCGGTTAGAAACATTTAGGCTGGCCTGCCTACGATCCATCCTGGGTTTAACCAAACTGGATTGTGTGAGGAGCTCACAAATCCTTGAAAGATCTGGGCAGGGTCCCATCGGTGAGCTCCTCCGGCGGGCAAGGCTGCGTTGGCTGGGTCACGTAGCCCGCATGCCCAGCCACCGCATGCCGAAACAGCTTTTGTCCGGCCGGATCGAGGGGGCTAAACGGGCGCGGCACGGGCTAGAGAAGAGACGGAGTGACGTGGTACAGGAGGACGTGGAGCTGAGTGGACTTGCACGATGACCGGTACAAGCGGCGTCTTTGTATTTTGCTGCGTTTCAAAAAAAAAATGTTTTCAATAAAACTGCACCCTAAAAGGAGGCAGAAAAATAACACCCGGGTGACCTTTTGCGCTGACCTCCCCCCCCCCCCACCACCACCACCACCGCCGAAAGGTCAACCACTGCGCGTGAGCTTACACAACACGGCTTGGATTTCAGCCGTGAACGGCGAGCACAACAAGAGAAGCAACGTCGTGCACAATGCCGCGTAGGGGTGCGCCCGCCCGCCATTCACGCCGCATTGTGGAGCTCCGCCGGTGGCAGCCGATCTGCAGTGGCGCGTCACCGGTTCCCAGGTTTTACCTTCCGTGTACCCCTAGCAGCCCCTAGCCCTAGCAGCCCCTACCCCTAGCAGCCCCTACCACTCTCTGTGTACCCCTACCAGCCCCTACCACTCTCTGTGTACCCCTAGCAGCCCCTACCCCTAGCGGCCCCTACCACTCTCTGTGTAGCCCTCCCAGCCCCTACCCCTAGCAGCCCCTACCCCTAGCAGCCCCTACCACTCTCTGTGTAGCCCTCCCAGCCCCTACCACTGTCTGTGTACCCCTACCAGCCCCTACCACTGTGTGTACCCCTACCAGCCCCTACCAGCCCCAACCAATCCCTGTGTACCCCTACCAGCCCCTACCTTTCCCTGTGTACCCCTACCAGCCCCTACCATTCCCTGTGTACCCCTACCAGCCCCTACCACTCCCTGTGTAACCTATCAGCCCCTACCACTGTCTCTGTGTACCCCTACCAGCCCCTACCACTGTCTGTGTACCCCTACCAGCCCCTACCACTCCCTGTGTACCCCTACCAGCCCCTACCACTCCCTGTGTACCCCTACCAGCCCCTACCACTGTCTGTGTAACCTACTAGCCCCTACCACTGTCTGTGTACCCCTAACAGCCCCTACCACTCTCTGTGTACCCCTACCAGCCCCTACCACTGTCTGTGTACCCCTACCAGCACCTACCACTGTCTGTGTAACCTACCAGCCCCTACCACTGTCTGTGTACCCCTACCAGCTCCTACCACTGTCTGTGTACCCCTACCAGTCCCTACCACTGTCTGTGCACCCCTACCAGCCCCTACCACTGTCTCTGTGTACCCCTACCAGCCCCTACCACTCCCTGTGTACCCTACCAGCCCCTACCACTGTCTGTGTACCCCCTAACAGCCCCTACCCCTCTCTGTGTAACCTACCAGCCCCTACCACTGTCTGTGTAGCCCTACCAGCCCCTACCACTCCCTATGTACCCCTACCAGCCCCTACCACTCCCTGTGTACCCCTACCAGCCCCTGCCACTGTCTGTGTACCCCTAACAGCCCCTACCACTCTCTGTGTACCCCTACCAGCCCCTACCACTGTCTGTGTACCCCTACCAGCCCCTACCCCTCTCTGTGTAACCTACCAGCCCTACCACTCCCTGTGTAACCTACCAGCCCCTACCACTCTCTGTGTACCCCTACCAGCCCTTACCACTCCCTGTGTACCCGTACCAGCCCCTACCACTCCGTGTGTACCCCTACCAGTCCCTACCACTCTCTGTGTACCCCTACCAGCCCCTACCGCTGTCTGTGTACCCCTACCAGCCCCTACCACTCCCTGTGTACCCCTACCAGCCCCTGTCTGTGTACCCCTACCAGCCCCTACCACTGTCTCTGTGTACCCCTACCAGTCCCTACCCCCTCTGTGTACCCCTACCAGCCCCTACCACTGTCTGCGAGATGCCCTTTATCGGGGTGGCTGCGAGACGCGGCCGGATTATTTTCCAAGGAAAATCATCGACAACGCAAATTTAGGCACGGGCAACGCAATTTACAGCTTTATTTCTTCCTCATTAAACCCCTCCATGTCGCTATCGACATTACACTGTACATGCTTCGTAACGATTGAAACCCAAAGGGGTGCAGGTCTGCAGCAAAGTTTCAGAACCTACTGCTCTGGACCAAACTTTTTTTCCCCTTTCAGTTCCACGTCAACAGAACCGTGCGAATCGCTCGCTTTAAACCCCCTCCCCACCCACCCGAAGAAACGTCGCATCCTGAGCACTGCACACACTAAAAGAACGGATTCACGCCTTGGTCTTCTCCCGCGTTGAGTTGCGCGAACTGCCCTGCGTTTTGGAAGCCCGAGGAAGGCCCCAAACAGGTTGCGGTTTTGATTTAAAGCTTTCGTGACTGCAGGGATTC